GAGGCTCCAGGTTCCCTGCTGCACCCAAGGGAGGGTGGAGCTGAGCAGGGAGAAGCTGCAATGGAGACTGACTGAGGAGGCAGCAGGATGGGGAGCCAGAGGGCGACCTGGAGGAGGCACGTAGAAAGAGACTCGTGAAGATCTTGTTAGGGGGAAGGATGTCCTGAGCTAATCCCATGCAGGCTTTGTGGACGCCACCCCCGCTCCAGACCAAAGCCATCAGGACATTGGGAAAGACAAATCCCGTCACCACCCAAGGGAAGGTGGCGGGGACCTGAGGGTGGAGTTAAGCAGCCAGGTGTGGTATAAAAACCAAACTCGTGGGCCTTGGGCTGTCTCGCTGTCTCTCGCCTCCTGGCTTCAGGGCTCCTGGCTCTATCCCAGATCAGCGGATCAGGTAGGACGCATTTAAAACTTTGTCTCCCACTTTTCTCCCTGAGCTGTACATTTCCTCACTTGCCCTTCCCTTGTGAATAAACCTTTGTTAACCGTTCGCGTGCACCTGCAGTGGAGTATTGATAAGTCCTTTTAAGCGCGCGGGTGAGGACCCACAGCCAGGCACCCCTGTTTTGTATCGGGGCTGCCCTATAACAATCTGAGCTTGCTGCTTGGCCTGGACTGGGGCAACAGATGAGGGTGAGTGACCCCCAGGGGGCGGTTAACAATGGCAGCTTTTTTTTTTTTTTAAGATTTATTTTATTTATACAAGAGCCAGGGTACAGGCCAGATGCGTGGGAGGGTGAGAGGACTCACCAGAGACAGAGTGGGGAGCAGAAAGGCAGACTGATGAAATACACTGCTGAGGGGAGCAGCGGGGAGACAGGAGAGGTCTGCTTGCCATGTGGGTTGCTCCGAGGCTGGTGTGGATCGAACGGGGGCTGCAGAGCCTGCGCCACCAGGGAGGCCCAACAATGACAGATTTCATGTTGATTTTGATTTTGCTCTTTTCCTCCCTTTCTTGTCTGACTTTCTGACCCTTTCCAAGGGGTCCGGGCTGAAAGGTCCTTGCAGGGCACAGGAATGCAAAAGCCCACCTAGGGGCGAGAGTGAGGGCCTGCTGGTACCATCAGGAAACAACTCTGTTCCTCCGCAAACCAGTTCCCCCTCATGCAAGCCCAGTTTCCTCTCCCCACCCTGTGAAAACCTGCCTTCCCCTGACCATGGGCTCAACGTCTCCAACCCCACCTTGGGTGTGAGAATCTCGCCCAGTTGCAGGTGCCCCATAAATTTTCCCCGCCTTCGAGAACACTTGGCCTGGCTCTTCTTATCTTTACCGCCCGGAAACTTTCACCCACCGAAAGGTGCTTTAGACCCGTGTGGCCGACCCTGTTTGGCCAGACACGACCCGGGAGGGGATGGACGGTGGGGGTGACTGACGGGGCCCCTCCACTCCTGCCTGCACCCCGCACTGTGTTCAAGTTCCTCTCCCCTGCAGGGGGCTGTGTTTTGTCTTGATAGGGGGATGGCAGAACCTCTAGAGCCACCAGGTTTGGGGTTCTGGGGTGCACCTCTCCCTGCCCTGCAGCAGTTTTAAATGCAAATGGAGGCGTTTAGGCATTTTTTAAAAAGCTTTATTATTTATTTCTGCACACAAGACTGCAGTGCAAGGCCAGAGGGGCGGGGGTGAGCGGAGTCACCAGAGACAGCGGGGAGCAGAAAGGCGGGTTCACCGCAGTCCCGGGCCGAGGGGAGCCGCGGGGGGCAGGGAGGCCGCCCCGCCCTTTGCGGCGGCGGCCGGAGCTTCCCAGGCTGGGACACCCCCCCCACCCCGCGCCGGCTCCCCGCCCCTATTCGCCTTTGCATGGCTTCAGGGCGTTCGGGCAGCGGTGTGGTCGGGGGGATCCAGCTGCCTCTGGCGGGCGTGGCCCCGAGGGAGCCCCCCACCCCCGGCGCGCCCCGGCTCCGCCCCCGCCGCGCCTGCGGGCTCCGCCCCGACCCTCAGAGCGCGTGTGGGGACTCGGGGTGAAGTCCCGCCGGCGGGACGCGTCTCCCTGGGGCCCGCGGGGGGCTCCGTCCGCGAGTGGGTCTGGGAGCCCATGGGCGCGCGAGGGGGTGAGCCCGAGCGGGGAGGCGAGGACACCCGGGCAGCGCCCCGCGTGGGGAGCCCTCAGGGGACCCGGTGCCGTGTGGGCAGGATGTGGGAAACTGGGGGCTTTGGGGTTTCGTTTGGATCTGGTGAGCATAGGGGGTCCGGGTCCTTCCTGAGCGTGACCCCGGGTCCCCGTCCGCCCCTGAGGGGCGCCCCTGCCCGAGCTGCTCCGGGGTGCGGGGGCCGCCCGGGCCGTCGGGGTGTCTCGGTCCCTGTGGACGGATGATGTAGTGTGGGGAGCGCGGTGTAAGCATTTCTGGGGTCACACCCCGCCCCCACCCCTGCCCGGCTCTGCGGGCAGGAGGGCGAAGCCGCGTCCGGGCGCCCGGACTGAGCGGCTGCGCCCCGATCCCTCCAGGGCGTCTCCCTTGAGGGGACCCTGTCCCCCGCCCCCTGCGCCCCGGGAGGGCCCGCGGAGGGCCAACAGGGGCCCACCTCAGGGTCCCCGCGGGCGTCCTGGAAAGGAAGGGGCGCTCCCGCCCGTCCGGAACCTTTATGTTCCTTTTTAAAAAAATGTAACGTATTCATGGGTATATGTATTTACACCATTGTTCAGTTTTTAAAAAGATTTATTTATTTATTTGTTTGTTTATTTATTTATTGTGGTATCGAAGAATTGGGGTGCAGGCCAGAGCTGCAGGGGTGAGAGGGTTCGCCAGAGACAGCGGGGAGCAGAACAGGAAGAGTCTCTGCAGAGCCCACTGCCTGGGAGCAGTCAGCAAGGCAGGAGGGGGCTGATGCGCCCGAGGGTCACCGCCCTGGCAGGGGGTGAACTGTGCGCAGTGCCTGCCCTGGCTTGCGGGTGCTGAGGCGGAGCCCCCGCGCCTCCAGGGAGGCCTGAACCTTTACATTCTTCATGCAGGGGTGGGGGGGGGGTTGGGGTCTCAACTTCTATCCCTACAGTCTGACTCCAGCCTGAGGTTCTGGAAGAGCTCTCACAGAAGAACGGCAGTCAGGCTGCTGTCTGGGTTCAAACCCTCACTTTAATGCCCTAACACACCCCGACTGTAGTGCACGCCGTGTGTCGGGGTGACAGGCCGAAGTCAGGGAGCAGATGCCTCCAGCCCTTCTCCAGAGTTAGGCTCTTCCTGTCCTTTGTGCTCAGATCCACATTCCAGGATGGTTCCTTCTGTCTCTGTGAAAAACGCCACCCAAGGGCCTGCCTGGTGGAACAAGGGGTTAAGTCTCAGCACCATCAAGCTACTGGCAGCCACTGCAGCATGAGTTTGCTCCCCAGCCAGGGCTACCCACATGGCGCAGCAGACCTCTCCTGTCTCACCCGCTGCTCCCCTCAGCAGTGGATTTCAGTGCCTCCGCCTGTTCTGCTCCCCACTCTGTCTCTGGTGAATCCTCTCACTACCACCCCCTCAACTTGTGGCCTGCACCGCAAGTCTTTCATGCGTAAATAATCAATCTTTAAAAAAATAATGCCCCAGCAATTTTCATCAGGATTGCATTTTCTCTGTCGTTGGCTTTGAGAAGTCTGCAGGGTTCAGTGATAATAATTATTGCAAGCGTGAGGACAGAATATTTTTCCATTTATTTATATTTTCGATTTGTTTGAATAGTGTTTCATTTTTTGTTTTCCAACTATTTTATAGTTTTCCTTGAACAGATTTTCTTCTTAGAAACAAAGAATTTCTAATCTTTACTATAAAAACTCTGATCAAGGGGCCTCGTTGGTGGTGCAAGGGGTTAAGATGCAACCTATGAAGCTATCCGCAGCCACTGTAGTGTGAGTTTGATCCCCAGCCAGGGAGCTACCCACATGGCATGGCAGACCTCCCCTGTATCCCCGCTGCTCCCCTCAGCAGTGTTATTCAGTCATTCTGCCTATTTGCTCCCCAGTCTGTCTCCACTGAATCACCCCCTACCCTGCATCTCTGGCCTGCACCCAGCTCTTGTATGCATAAATAAAGAAATCTAGAAAAAGAAAAACTGACCCAAGCAACAACAGGTCATCAAAGCCAGTCAATGTGCATTGACTGGCTCAGTTGCTCAGGGTTGTTCAAATACCACCCCCACAAACACCCACCCACAGGGCCAGGTGTCCCCGCGGGAGCAGGAATATTAGGCCCTGGCGCAGGACGTGGGTTCCACAGTGCAGTGAGTGACTGCACCCACGGCAGCCGTAGTGTGAAAGCAGGTCACTGTACAGGCACCTTCTGGCTGCGGGACCAGCGCGGCCCTGAATGTTCCTGAACAGGCTTCAGCTTGACACCTCCCAATCATTTGGGGGTACACCAGGAGTGGAAATGCGGAACCACATGGTTATTCTGGCTTCAGTTTTTGGGGAAATGTCGAGGTATTTCTCATGCAGTTTGCTCAACTGTCCATTTCCAACATCCTGGCTCCGCTGTTGGGCTGGTGTGGCCTGGAAGACACGCGAGAGGCCGTCATCTGGAGCCTTGGCTGCTGATCGTGTTCAGTTTACATCACTTACTCTTGAGTGATTTTCTGGGGATTGGCTCATCTGGCGCCCCGCACAGGCCACCCCGGGGTCCTCAGGAGGTGATGGTGCTGCCAGAGGCTCACCCAGCACTGTGGGTGCTGATTTCCCTCTGACCAAAGCTGGTCACAGGGCCAGGCCCAGGTCGGTGTTGGCTTAGACACCCCGAGGGGAGGGACACCGGGAAGCCAGTTTTTGGTACCATGAAGGGGAACCCCCAAGTGTGCATGACGTGCAGCTGCTCTGTAGGATCACGGGGGGAAACGCTGTGCTCCGGGTCCCTGGAAAGTGAGTCAGTGCTGAGCACCGTGCGGGTAAAGCAGCAGGGCAGATGTGCGCCTCTGTCCTTCAGGGTAAATTTAAATCTAAATCCTACCAGTGACTGGACTTGCCGGTCCCTTCCTGCCCCTTCCCCAAGTGTGAAACGCTGCTGTGGACAGACTCTCGCTTTTGCCTTCTCAGCGGACGCGCTGCGAGCTCAGGCAGCACAGGCGGGACCCGCCGCCCCATCTCTTCCCGACCCGCCCGGCCACTGCCCGGCTCGGCCTCCGCAGCCTCCGTGCGTCTCTGCGGGCACCTGCCATGGCCACGCCTCGGGTGAGCTGTTTCCTCCTTATGTGTCTAGTTGCTCTGCTTGCGCTTGACGAGCTTCACGAGGGCCCCAGAGTAAATGGGGAAGCAGCCACGTGACCTGCTTTGGGCCCAGACACGCACACAAGGGGAAGGCGGCGTCAGCAGGAGGGCGGGGGCTGGAGAGAGCACAAGTCTCTGCTCACCTGGTGCTGTGGGAAGAGATGGACACGCCCGTGACCTGGTGAACCACCCTTTGCAGGAAGGCCCGCTGCCTTCCCCCGGGACACGGGCTGTGGCAGGCCCCAGAGTCTGTGGAGTGTAGGGTCTCACAGAGGATGGCGTGGACATTGTCTCGTGACCCCTCTGGAAATGAGCACCCAGCATCCCGCGGTGGTGACGGCTCTCTGGTGCTAAAGCCCAACTTGACAAGGTTTTTGTGCAGTTGCTAAATCCCGTGGTCTCAGGTAGCTCTGGGAAGGCCCTCGCAGACGCAGGACTCCCACCTGCCGTGTCTGGGGATGGACTCGCATGCAGGCCCTGCAGCTGCTGCCCTTGCGCTTCTCTCAGCTGATCCCCACACCCGGGTTGTGCAGCAGGCTGTGGAAAGTTCTATTTTCTGGCACATGTTTCCTCTGCTCCTTTGCGCTGCAGACCCACTTAGTGTAGCCCTCATCACTCTGTTGTGAGGCTCACCAGTAACCCGAGTTACCGTCAAGTCTCACACCGTTGGGTTCTCGAATCATCTGCCATATTTGAATATACCGTCCATGATGTCCTGGAAATTCCTTGCCTGTTAGCTTCTGTCTCAGCCTCTCTGGTGATTCATTCCGTTTCCCGCAATTTTTGTGCTTCCTTCTTCTGAATGTTGTCACCGCCGTGATCTTCACACTCTGCAGCCCTCCCCGGGTAGTCAGCCCTCTGTGGGTTGGAGGGTCCCAACTCTTTCCCTCCAGCTTGGACCCCCTGCACAGTCTTCTCTCCCCAGGTTCAATTCCCGGTTGAGGGCTTTATTGTACATTTCCAGAAGGCACTTCCAGCTCAACACATGGGATGGACAAATGCGCTCAGGATGGGCCTTTCTACCAGCTTGGGATTACCTCCTCCGCTGTCAGGTTTAATCTGATCCAGTGAAAGTCCTGGGCTTTGTTCTGTTAATTTTATAAAGATCTGCATTGTTACTCATGAGCAAATACAGAACTTCCTCTTTTATATCATAATTAGTCTCCTTGGCAAAACCTGAAGGATGTATTGGCTCCGTGACCGGCTCTGTCCCCTGTAAGCTTCCCTACTCGGCAAAGCTTGTGGGGATGGCTATCGGGCAGCCTGGGTGTGAGCAATCCCCCAGGAGTCCATGAGAGTTGTTTGAACACGTGTCAGGACAAAGCACAAAGAATCTCATCTTTTTTTTGTTTTTATAAATTTATGTAAATCTGTCTGTTGTTTTATTAACATGCAGGTAATAAATAATTCTAGCTCAATAGTGTTCTGTACCATCTCAAACTCTTTTATAGACTGTATTCAATTCTCTGCTGCAACTAATTACTTAAAATTAGTAGGGAAAATCACTATGTTAATGACTGGAGTTCTGGTTAACAGTTTCTTCATTTTTATTTTTAATTTTTTTTTAAGATTTATTTATTTATTTATATAAGCACTGGGTACAGTCAGAAGCACGGGAGGGTGAGAGGATTCACCAGAGCCACAGCGGAGAGCAGAGCAGGCAGAAGGACCGAAGTACACTGCTGAGGGGAGCAGCGGGCGGCAGGAGAGGTCTGCGCGCCATGTGGGACCCTTACCGGCTGCCGGGGAACGAAGTGGTGCTGCAGAGGCTGCAGGCAGCTTTGCAACCCAGCGCTCAACTGCTGCGCCACTGGGGAGGCCCTATTTTTAATTTTTTAAAAGATTTATTTTATTTACTTACACATACAAGAACTGGGGACCAGGCCAGAGGTGCAGGGGTGAGAAGATAAACTAGAGAGAGTGAGGAGCGTCACAGGCGGGTCTTCTGATGCTGACCCTATTAGAGTGCTACGTTTGTTACAATTTACAATAAACACTGACCATAATTACCCCCAAAGCACATAGTTTACATTATGATTTACTCTAGTATTGTCGTTTTTATAGGTTTGGGCAAATACACAATATTAACCATCTTTGGGACTTCTGGGAAGTACAATGTTGATAGTACAAAAGGTGGCTTTTTTTTCTCCTTTTTTAACCCAGTCACCTTTAACATGTTTTGACATATCTTTTCTTCCACTTCATTCTCTAAACCACTTGGTAGGTCCTTTGGGGAGCAAAATTTCATTTATCTTTTTATTTTTGAAATAAAGATATTTCCAATTTTTAGAAGAAAGCTCTGGTAGTATATTTGGGAACAATGAGTTCAATCACAAGTGGGGGGTCTTAGGGGTTGGTGCTGTCACACTCCCAGTGCTGTGGCCTAAGTTTGATCCCTGGCCAGGGAGCTACCCATATTGACACAGCAGAACTCTCCTGTCTCCCCACTGCTCCCCTCAGCAGTTCATGTTAGTAGATCCACCTGTTCTGCTCCCCACTCTGTCTCTGGTGAATCCTCTCAACCCCCACCACTCTGGCCTACACCTCAGTTCTTATGCATAAATAATTTTTTTAAAGACACCATAGGTAGGATATTTCTGTATCTCTTTATCACACAATTTAGAGGACAAAGCATGATGCAGCATGTACAAGATAAAACACCCTCAAAATTATGAACTCCCAGACTTCCTGCTCTTCTTACCCAGGCCTGTACCATTACAGGGAATGGTGACTTTCGAGGACGTGGCTGTGAACTTCACCCGGGAGGAGTGGCAGGACCTGGATGATGCTCAGAGGACCCTGTACAGGGATGTGATGCTGGAGACCTACAGGACCCTCGTGTCCCTGGGTGAGTGATGTTTCCCTCCACTGCCAAGGGCAAGGACAGTTGTTTTTTAATATTTGTTTTTATTTTCTGTCAAGTATTTGCTCTCTAAAGATTATAAAATGCAAACAGGTGAACGACCATATGAATCTTGGAAGGCCTGTGAGAATTCAACCCTCAGTAAACATCAGAGAACTGTTACTGGGGAGAAACCTTATGAGTGTAAAAAGAGCCTGAAAACTTTCTCCTGCAAGTCAACCCTCAAGAGATATCAGCAAATCCGCAAAGGTGTGAAACCCTATGGATATAAAGAACGTAGGAAATTTTTGCCGCAGAAGTCACACTTCATTGAACAACAGACAAGTGTGAAACCCTATGAATGTAAAGAATGTGGGAAAACCTTCTTGTGGCCGTCACACCTCAAGATACATCAGAAAGTTCACACAGGAGAGAAACCCTATGAGTGTAAAGAATGTGGGAAAACCTTTAAGAGGAAGTTCTATCTCAACAAACATCAGATCAGTCACTCAGGAGAGAAGAAACCCAATAAATGTGAAGAATGTGGGAAAACTTTTTTCTGGCAGTCATCCCTCAAGAGACACCAGCACACTCACACTGGAGAGAAACTCTATGAATGTAAAGAGTGCAGGAAAATTTTCTCTCAAAAGACAACCCTCACTGAACATCTGAAAACTCACACAGGAGAGAAACCCTATGAATGTAAAGAATGTGGGAAAACTTTCTTCTGGCTGGCAGCCCTCAAGAATCACCAGCTCACTCACACTGGAGAAAAACTCTATGAATGTAAAGAGTGCAGGAAACTTTTCTCTAAAAAGTCAATCCTCACTGCACACCTGGAAACTCACACAGGAGAGAAACCCTATGAATGTAAAGAATGTGGGAAAACTTTCTTGAAACAGTCATACCTCAGGCTGCATCAGAGCACTCACACTGGCGAGAAACCCTATGAATGTAAAGAATGTAGGAAAACTTTCTTTTGGCTGTCAATACTCAAGAAACACCAGAGAATTCACACAGGAGAAAAACCCCATGAATGTGAAGAATGTGGGAAAACTTTCCTCTGGCAGTCAAAGCTCAAGAGACACCAGCTCACTCACACTGGCGAGAAACCCTATGAGTGTGAAGAGTGCGGGAAACCTTTCTCTCAAAAATCAACCCTCCTTGAACATCAGAGAACTCACACAAGAGAAAAACCCTACAAGTGTAAAGAATGTGGGAACACATACTTATGGCAGTCCTGCCTCAAGGTACATCAGAGTATTCACACAGGAAAGAGACCCCACGGGTGTAAAGAATGTGGGAAAACTTTCTTCTGGCCGTCAGCCCTCAAGAAACATCAGTGCATTCACACTGGAGAGAAACCCTGAGTGTAAAGAAGTTTGAAAAACTTTCTTCTGTCAATCAGCACTCAAGAGACACCAGGGAATTATGACTGTGAAGAATGTACAAAAACTTTCTCTCAGAAGTCACGACTCACAAAACTTTAGAGAAATCACACAGGACTGGGCCTCCCCGGTGGCGCAGCGGTTGAGCGCTGGGTTGCAAAGCTGCCCGCAGCCTCAGCAGCGCCACTTCGTTCCCCGGCAGCCGGCAAGGGTCCCACATGGCGCGCAGACCTCTCCTGCCGCCCGCTGCTCCCCTCAGCAGTGTACTTCGGTCCTTCTGCCTGCTCTGCTCCCCGCTCTGGCTCTGGTGAATCCTCTCACCCTCCCGTGCTTCTGACTGTACCCAGTGCTTGTATAAGTAAATAAATAAATCTTTTTTTTTTAATTTTTTTTTTAGAGGCATGTTTTATTTATTTGTTTGTTTTGTTTATACAAGCACTGGGTACAGTCAGAAGCGCGGGAGGGTGAGAGAATTCACCAGAGCCAGAGCGGGGAGCAGAGCAGGCAGAAGGACCGAAGTACACTGTTGAGGGGAGCAGCGGGCGGCAGGAGAGGTCTGCGCGCCATGTGGGACCCTCCTCCGGTGGCTGGGGAGCAGCCGGGGATCGAACCGGCGCCGCAGAGGCCGCGGGCAGCTTTGCAACCCAGCGCTCAACCGCTGCGCCACCGGGGAGGCCCTAAATAAATAAATCTTTAAAAAAAAAAAATTAAAAAAAAGAAATCACAGGACTGACACCTTGAATAGCCGAGACTGACCATTAGTTCACAATTTCAATATTCTTTTTTTCTTTTATATGCAAACTGCATTTTCCCACCTCCCTTTCCCTTGGGTGGATCCTGGAACTTAACTCTTTCCAGGAGATTTTAAACAAAAGTGGTGAACATTCATCCATCCAGGTCACCTAGAACTCTGCCCTTTAGTCTTTTCATATTCTGTGCCCTGGAGTACTTGTGACCCTCCAGGTTTACCTGGGTGATGCAGTGGAACAGGACTGGTCCCTCTTCCTGCCCCCTCAGATAAGCACTCCTGTGTGTTGCATTAAACAAGGTTGTCTTGCAGGCCAGGGAAAAGGAAAGACATCCCTAAGAGCATAATTCTGAAGATAAACATCGAAGGTAGTTAAACATCAAGTGTTGTGTATTTACTTATTTATTTTTAAAGATTTATTAAGAACCGGGGTACAGGCCAGATCTGCAGGAAGGTGAGAGGATTCACCAGAGACAGAGTGGGGAGCAGAACAGGCAGACGGACTGAATACACTGCTGAGGGGAGCAGCGGGCGAGACAGGAGAGGTCTGCCGCGCCATGTGGGACTCTCGCCCGCCGGCCGGGATAGAACCCGCGTTGCAGAGTCTGCGGACAGCTTCACAGTGCGGCGCTTAACCACCTGCGCCACCAGGGGAGGCCCTCATCATCAGGTGTGGTTGCGTTGACAACACCGCATTGACAAGCGGGAGTCGTGGAGCAGGATGCAGGGTGCTGCTGAAGAGCAAGATCCTGGCCCTTTCATGATAGAATTATCAAAAAACATCAGTTGTAAGGGGAAGCAGGTCAAAAAGAAGAGGGAGGGATGAACTAGAAAATGCAATAGTGTCAGGGGTTGTGAGTCTGGGCTCCAGGCACTTATCTGCTTGATGACTCGGCAGGTACTGTTATTGAGATCAGGCCCCAGACTCCCAGCCAAGGTTTCCATCTTAGCAGCAAGGCTTTCCACTGATCAGTTTCTAGGGTCCCTTGTCATACATCAGTCAATGGCCCCCGGGCGTTTCTGGCCATACCTCATGATGCACACCCTTCCCGGGGTGATCAAGCTCTCTCTTGCTTGAAAGGCAGCTTGCAGGGTTGGGCTCCTATAACAGATTGACTGGGCAGTTCTGACCTTGATTAGAACTGCAGAATGGGGCCTCCCTGGTGGCACAAGAGGTTAAGCAACACACTGAACCGGTCTGCAGCCTCTGCAGCATGAGTTCAATCCCGCAGCCGGCCAGGGAGCGAGCCATATGGCGCAGCAGACCTCTCCTGACTCACCTACTGCTCCTCGCTCTGTCTCTGGTGAATCTTCTCACCACCCCCCCCCCACCCCTGCATCTCTGGCTTGTTACCCAGGTCTTGTGTGCATAAATAAATAAATCTTAAAAAAAAAAAAAGAAAATTATTAAAAAAAAAAAAAGAACTGCAGAATGGGGGCCTCCTAGGTGGTACAGCGGGTTGAGCAGAGCACTGTGAAGCTATCCACAGCCTCTGCAGCGCAGGTTCGATCCCCAACAGGGAGATACCCACATGGTGTAGCAGACCTCTCCTGTCTCGCCCGCTGCTCCCCTCAGCAGTGTATTTCAGTCCATCTGCCTGTTCTGTTCCCTGCTGTCTCTGGTGAATCTTTCACCCTCCCGTACCTCTGGCCTGTACCCCAGCTCTTGTATAAATAAATAAATCTTAAAATAAAAGAAAAAAATACAGGTAAAGACACAGCCATGGGGAAAAAAAAAAAAAAGAAATGCAGAATGGTAGGTAACAAAAATGGTGGCCAAACAGGCCACGTAGGATTAGCGGCCCCGCAGGTGTTAACAAAGCATCTGGCCCCACCCGACACCTCCAGAGGCCTGCGTCCCTAGGACACGCGGACCCCTCCTGCCTCTTCGCGCACCCCGGCCCGTCTCTCTTTTGCTGGTCCCTTTGTGTAAACAGCCCTGCACCCGCCGAAGGGCAGGACGGTGGGCTTCCGGACAGAGCCTGCTGCCTCCTCATTTGTCGACAAATAAACCACGTTCCTTTTCCTCAAACTCTGTTTCCTTTTATTGGCTGAGGGAACAGAGGCCGGCGCTCCGTAGCAGCTTTGTCTAAACGTGCGGGCCCCTGGTGTCGTGATGATGGAGGAAAGACTAGGAAACCTGAAGGAGGCGCGGCAGGACTAGAACCTGACTCGCACATGGAGGCGGGCGTGAGGGGGTTGCCAGCAGCAGAAATCCAGACCCTGAGGCCCTGCAGCACCTCGCCAGGCATAAGGCCCCCGCGGGCATCAGATGCTGCAGGGAGTGTCCAGAGCACAGACCTGAGGGTAAAGATACAGCGATGGGGGCGAACCTGGAATCCCCAGCCCCTTTCCCTCTCTCCTGTTAGCCACGATCAGCAGCAAACAGGCCCCTCCACTGAGGTGCGCCCCCGCCCAAAGGGGAAGAGACTGTGTCAGGGTGGTCTCTGCACGGGCACAGGGCTGCGTCCCTCCGCCCACCCGTGACGCTGCAGGGGCTGCTTTTCACCCACTCTCCCTCCGCAGGGCAGCAGCCTCCTGCCCGCCCGGGGCCTGCACCTGCCGGGGCGTCTCCTCACTGGGCTCCCTCAGCGGGGGCCGCTCTCGCCCAGGCCGCCCGCCTGCAACCACGCAGGCCTCTCCCAGCAAACCTGTCCCCCTCGGGGCAGCTGTCTCTGGCCGCAGGTGTCCACGCAAGTGTCCTTCGTTCTTCTGCTCCTTCCCCTAACAAACCTGCTCTTTAAATATAACCAGCGTCTCTGTCCTGTGGAGGAAGTCGCCTGGGCACTCACCCCCCGCTGCTGAAAGGAAAGCTCTGGCGACGCCTTCCCCAGAGTGAATCCAAGGACCCCGCGCTCCAAACTCAAAAAACCACGCCAGTGAGATGTGGGGTTCAGTGTGTGGGGTCCTTAGTTTCCCGACAGCCTCCCCTCTTAGTGGCACGTGGCACGTTTACCCAGGAAACAAAGAGGTTCGTGCAGACACAGGTGACGGTAACATTTTATTTTATTGGTTTTTTTTTTTTAAGATTTATTTTTAGTCATTTATGCACACAAGAACGGCGTGTAGGCCAGAGCTGTGGGTGGGTGAGAGGATTCACCAGAGAGAGCGGGGAGCAGAACAGGGATCGAACTCATACCACTGTGGACGGCCACAGCTTGACAGTGCTGAGGCTTTAGCCTCTGCACCACCAGGGACGCCTCAAGGTCACATTTTCTAGATTATATTTCATTTTCATTTTTATGTAGAATGAGGGTGTAGGCCAGAGAGAGGCCGGCTTCAGAGGGAGGATGAAATATGCCGGGGTGGGGGTGGGGGGGGAAATAGAAATGAAAAGTAAGCTGGTGGAACTGCAGGGGTAGCTCATTTTGGGGACCAGGGTTTGTGAGAGATTCTCTGTGATCCCCTTCAAAATCTGTTCACCCCCAGATCTCGGTCTCATGAACAGCTTCACATCCACCTTTCTGGCCAAGCCAGAGCCTTAGAACTCACCCCCAACATCTGGGCCACCACCAGGACTGCTCTTGGCTCCAGATGTACAACTGCAGGACGGGGCAGATCACCTCCTTCCTCACTCCTTAGCCTCCAGCAGGCCCAGACCACTGTGACGTCCCCCCGGGAATGACATCTGACTGCCTTCTAAGTTTTCACTCTCTCAACCTCAATTTATACTCCACAGAATAGAACAATCCTGAAAGTTAATAAGAACTTAGAACCTCCCCACCTCTGCTTCAAACCCCTCGTTCGCTGTGGAGTCAATCCAGTCTCTTTAGCCTGAGCCAGAATCGTCTCCCTCGCGTATTTGTGGCAATGGCGCCCTGCCAGCTCCTCCTGCCCCAAGCTCTTGCCTGGAAACCTGCACTGGAGCAGAAGTCTTCCTCCCATTGTTATGCCTGGTTAACCCCTCATCCTGCCTCTGCAGACTTTGGTACCATTTCCTCAGAGAGGTCATCCCCGGCGCCATTACAACGTCATCATATTCTTACTCAGGTCTTTGCCTTCATCATGTTTGTGGCACTAGGTAATTGTGTATTTGTGTTTTTTTATTTGTTGACCCTGCTGGGTTGCAAACTTACTGCATTCAAGGATCATCTCTCTCTCTTTTTTTCAATATCCAGCTTTTCGCATGTTGCTTGCCATATAGTAGATGCTCAATTAACATCACTTGAAAGCATTATGTTATAAAATCCCTCCTTAACCCTCCAGGGTTATAATCCTTCCCTGCTCGGTATTACAGCGGGAGACTTGCTTCCTTGGCTATGTCGACAGGAACCCTGAGGCTCAGATCCTGGCTCTTGGGACTTTGGGCAAGTTACTCTATGCCTGAGCATTTCACCTGTAAAATGGAAATGCTAATAATAGGAATAATACCAACTTGAAAGGATAGCAGAGGATGATTCAATTAGGCAAAGTATCTGCAAAAATAAATGCCTGATACACAGCAAATTGGCTATCTTGACTAAATCTGTAATTGTTTCATTAGTTCATACTCCTTTTTATAATTATTTTCATGCCTGTGTCCCTCTCCAGCCCATGCATCAGATCATCACTTCCTTCACTCTCACACTAAGTGGCAAGTGTACATCATCAAAATCCCATTTCTTTTTTTAGTTTGGGGAAAGGAAAAAAAAGAATCAAAGAACAGAAGCAGGAAATTCCTGTAGAGAAAAATTCCATGAAGCATTTGGGAGGACAGTCTTTTCAGTCTAATTAGAGACTTACCTTTGGAAAGGAATTAATTAGACCTTTACTCTAGGCAATTAGAGTTTTGGAAGGTTTGGCTGATGTATTAAAACAGGAAACAGTGGAGGGCCTCCCTGGTGGTGCAAGGAGTTAAGATGCAGCCCTATGAAGCTGTCCGCAGCCTCTGCAGCCTGAGTTTTATCCCTGGCAGGCCAGGGAGCTACCCACATGGCACAGCAGACCTCTCCTGTCTCACCCGCTGCTCCCCTCAGCAGTGTATTTATGTGCATCCGCCTGCTTCCGACTCTGCTCCCCACTCTGTCTCCGGGGAATCCTCTAGCCCCCTGCATCTCTGGCCTGCACCCCAGTTCTTATATGCATAAATAAATAAATCTTAAAAAAATAAAAACAAAACAGGAAACAGTGGCCTGGCAATATTATCAAGACTCAATTTGTACCATAGTCATTCCCAGGATATATTCCATGAAAATAATCAAAATCGTGCCCAAAGATGGAGGTGAATGGCTGAGCACATCGGTACCACGCTGCAAACAGCCGGGGTGTCCTCCAGGCCCCCCACGGAAGGATGAATGCCACGCTGCACGGCGCCACCTCGTGGGGAACCGTGCAGCCGCTGCAAGGCATTTTTTTGCAAAAACATTTGTGTCCGTGGGAAACAAAACCAAAAATGGACTAAGAGAGACCACAAAACGGTGCTTTTCTCTGTGATTGCATGAGACTTTAATATCCCCTTTCAATGTTTCTATACTTTCCACACTTTTCCACTTTAATGAAAAAGTGTTTTTTAATCATAAAATGATTTTTAAAGAGATTTTTCCACTTTGGCCTTCACCCCCCTCATTCTGACTGTTTCCAAGGTTGTGGCCCGAAAAGTTTACATCGAATCCTGGGTGCGGGAAGGGGCGCTCCTAAAAGTCAGAATCTGCACTTCTAACCTCACTCCTCAAGTGATTCTTCACCGAGGCACGCTGACGTTTGCAAAACCTCAGATGAACAGCTAGGCAAACGGAGAAAACCTGCTCGCACCAGCAAGGAACAATGGGTCTGAAGAGAGCTCTGCAGTGAGTTCTTGTCTTTGGAAAAATTTAAACATTTTACTCATTTTTTAAAACGCTATTCCATTTCTTGGCCAGCAGATGGCGCAGGTCTCCCAGGTACTGGTTCCCTATGGCAGGAGAAGAAAATCTTGTTCGAAATTGTCTGGTAAGTCCAGAAGCGTCCCCCACCCAAAATGGTGATGCACAAGAAGAAACTAGAAAGAATTTTTAATAATCAGTGTGTTGGGTGTCTTGTCCCCATAGAAATCACTCTTCTGGGGCCTCCCTGGTGGCGCAGCGGGTTGAGCACGGCGCGGTGAGGCTGTCCGCAGCCTCTGCAGTGCGGGTTCGAGTCCCGGCAGGCCAGGGAGCCACCCACATGGCGGCAGACCCCTCCTGTCTCCCCGCTGCTCCCCTCAGCAGGGTCTTCGGTCCGTCTGCCTGTTCTGCTGCTCCCTGTTCTGTCTCTGGTGAATCCTTTTACCCTCCAGCCCCTCTGGCCTGTACCCCCAGCTCCTGTAGAAATGAAATAAATCTTAAAAAAAAAAATTAAAAAATCACTCTTCTCTGGGGAAAGACCAGTAGATTTAGGGTCTGTCCTCCGACCACAGTCGGTGCCAGCCCTTAGGCTAGGGCGAGGCTCTGGGCGAAAGGAGGCCCCAGCCCCAGGCAGGCGGACATGGATGCTGCGGGCTCTGCCCGTGACTCGCCTCTTCCTTGGCTTCTATCCTGGACCATTGGAAGATTTATCTCCTCTCTGGCTTCCCACTGCTCCTGTGAATCTTGGCTGAATTCCTTAGGCTTGATCCGCCAGCCTCAGAAATAATGGACCCCTGTTGACCTCCTCATCAGGATGTAATCCATGCACTCTGTTATTTTTTTTTTAAGATTTATTTATGCATACAAGAGCTGGGGTACAGGCTAGAGGTGTGGGGGGTGAGAGGATCCACCAGAGACAGTGGGGAGCAGAGCAGGCAGACTGACTGAAGCACACTGCTGAGGGGAGCAGTGGGCGAGTCAGGAGAGGTCTGCTGCGCCATGTGGGTATCTCCCTGGCTGGGAATCGAACTGGTGCTGCAGGGGCTGCGGCAGCTTCACAGGTTGCGTCTTTAACCCTTGCGCCCCAGGGAGGCCCAGCCAAGAGCAATTCTGCCAGGGCCGGGAGCTGGTAGCCGGGATGCTCAGCTCCACGGTAAGTGGCGGCAGCTGCGGGGGCTTCCAGCCTCCGCCTTTCCCAGGCGCCCCGGGCCCCTTCCACGCCGGGCCGGGCGGCCCCGGAGCCCTCCTGGCCGGGCCGGGACGCCGGGTCCGGGCAGCACCCGCCGCTGCAGTGGAAGCGGCAGGACGCTCCGGAGCCACCTCAGATGCCCGCCGGAGGGCTGGTTCCCCCGCGAGCCAGGTTCGAGCACAGCCCCCCTTCCCTGGAGTTGCAGGGGCCCCAGAAGCGGCCTCAGAGGAGGCGGCATTTCACGGCGGGCCCGCAGGGCCTCGGGCAGAGGTGCGGGCAGTGGCCGTGGGTGATGCGGCGCCCCTGCCACACTGCCCCAGGGCATGCAGCCCCCCCACCCCCGCAGGGCTGCCCCGAGCCTGAGCCGCCTCTGGCAGAGGAGGCGTCGGCAGAGAGGCCGGGGGAGCCGGGCCCGGCCTGGCGTCCCCAAGAGCTGTTTGCGGCGGGCGCGGGCCGGCAGCCCCAAGGGGCAGGTGACTCTGGGGTCCGAGACGCGCCCTCGGCCGCCGGCGGTGACAGGCCCCGCAGGCCAGTGCGTCCAGCGTGAGGCCGGGCGACCCCCCAGGCCCCTCACTTGTGCTGTTTGGAAAGACACCTGGGGGCGGCCCGGCGGGTCCCAAGGAAGATCCATTCTCAGGCTTAGAGGCGCCTCCTCGCTTCTCTCCACGGTGGCTGGACCCGCCGACAACCAGGGGTGCGAGGCGTCCTTGGGCGCCGTCATCCCCGGCACTTGTCGTGTGTGTGTGTGTGTGTGTGTGTGTGTGTGTAATACGGGCCTTGTCCCAGGGGTGAGGTGGTGCCTCATGGTTTTGCTTTGCATCTCCCTGGTGATAAGTGATAGAGAACTTTTTCGTGTGCCCGTTGCCCTCTGCGTGTCTGCTTTGGAGAAGTGACTGTTTAGCGCCGCTTCCCATTTTTGACTGGGTGGTTTTCATTTTGTGGACTTGCAGGAGTACTGTGTAGATCTTTGATGTTAATTCCTTGTCAGATGTAGGGTGTGCAAGTATTTTCTCCCATTCAGAAGGGTGGCTCTTTGTTTTTGTCACTGTCTTTTTTGCCATACAGAGATTGATTGATTTATTTATTTTTTTGTGGGACCCTCTCCGGTGGCCGGGGATCGAACCTGCGCTGCAAAGGCTGCGGGCAGCCTCACAACCCAGCACTCAACCACTGCGCCACCAGGGGAGGCCCCAGAGAATTTTTAGTTTGATATCGTGTCATTTGTTTATGTTCTCCTTTATATGTTTCTGAGATTTATGTTAGGGAGTGTTTTGCCTCTATTTTCTTCTATCTATTTGATGGCTTCAGGTCTTATATCCAAGTCTTTTATCCATTTTGAGTTGATTTTCACGTATGGTGTGAGATAATGGTCTCGTTTCATTACTTTCTGTGTGGCAGTCCAATTTTCCAGCACCATTTATTTTAGAGGCTTTCCTTGTTCCCGTGCATGGACTTTACCCCTCTGTTGTGTATTAATTGTCCATAAATATGTGGTTTTATTTCTGGGCTCTCAATTCTATTGCATTGGTCTGTGCGTCTGTTTTTGCTCCATTACCGTGCTGTTCAACTATTTGGCTTTATAGTATAATTTGAAGTCGAAGGGTGATTCCTTCCTTTCTCCCTTTTTTAATCAGGAAAGCTTGGGCTATTTGGGGTCTTTTGCATTTCCACATGAACTTTAGTAATCTTTGTTCTATTTCTTTAAAGAATGCCATTGGGATTTTTATTGGGATTCCATTGAATCTATAAATTGCTTTGGGTTGGATGACCATTTTGACAACGTTGATTCTTCCAACCTATGAGCTGGGTATAGCTTTCCATTTCATTATGTGTTCTATTTCTTTTAACAATTTTTTAAAGATTTATTTATTTATGCATACAAGAGCTGGGGTACAGGCCAGAGGTGAGAGGATTCACCAGAGACAGAATGGGGAGCAGAACAGGCAAATCCACTGAAATACACTGCTGAGGGGAACAGTGGGTGGGTGAGTCAGGAGAGGTCTGCTGCGCCATGTGGGTTACTCCCTGGCTGGGGATCGAACTCGTGCTGCGGAGGCTGCGAATTGCTTCATAGTGCGGTGCTTAACCCCTTGCGCCACCAGGGAGGCCCAATGTTAACTATTTTTAAGTGCACAGTTTGGTGGCATTACCTTACCTACACGCACACTGTCACATAGCTCATTTCTGAAACCCCCGGGGGGCGGAGGTGGTCCCCAAAGGCTTTAATACATCCCCAAATAGCCCTGTATTCTTTCTGCTCATAGCTTAACTGTTAACCATAATTAACTACTTTCTGTTTTCTAGGCTGACTACAATACCAAGATGAACATATTTTTCCCAAGCAGTTCTGCTTCTCCAGATAAAGAGACTAGAAGCCAAAGGCTTCACCTTTGTCTAAACGGTACCCAGCCATCAGAAGAACCTGACCTAAGGATGTCTTACTTTAAGATTTCATCTGGGAACAGAGTATGTGACAAAAGATAACAGGATACATCCAACCACGCAGCATAGTTTAAGCATCTGTTATTTTGGTTAACACCCCATTGTCTGAAGTGATAATATGGCCAAGTCTAAAGTCATGGAGCAGAGACGTTCACTTCAGCCACACTAATGCTATGGTAAGAGTGATCTATTCCTCAGGGATGTAAAATTAGGTAAGATCCATTAACTCAAATCATTATATACTTGGTAAGTAATTTTACCCTTTAGAGATAGTTTGGAAATTACAAGACAGCATATGTGTTAAATTTTTATATTAACCTAACATGATTTATAGGATTCTTTAAACATCTTAACTTTAACTATAATCAACTTTGCGCTTTCACCTAAGTAATATGTTTCTTCTGTAAAACCATTTTTATGCAGTCTTTTGCAATGTAGCAAATCATCCCAAAGTGAGTGGCTTAAAAACATGGTTTTATATTTGGTTACAATTTAGGCTGTGCACAGCTGGGATATCTTGCTCATATACGGACTTCCACTGAGGTTTCCAAGGTATCTACTTCACACCTGAGGCTGGATCTTTGATCACAGAGATCTAAAACATTTTACTCTTGTCCCACTACTTTACTAAGATTCTTCTTCACTTTCATCCCGAACAAAATATGTCAATTTATTGAAGAAGTATATACTACCAGTTAGGCATATATTAAATGGCAATTAGATTTCCTTCCTTTCAATTCAACATATGATAACGAACAAATTGTAAATATTACATCCATCCTCAACAGTCTTCTGCTCATCCCTAGGAGACCACCATTTTAGATCAGTAGATGGTTTTCCCAATGATCTGATTCTCATCTCTCATTTTGGTTAGGTTAACAGTGAGTCTGAAAACATCTGAGTTATCACAATAGTTTTTTTTTTCTACTTTACTAATAGTACTAGTGATTGACAGATGGTCTATGCAATATTTCCAAGATCCAGGAATATCTTATAATTCTGTCCTCCTCAGTATCTTAAGGTTACTCTCAATTTTTCCAGTGGGTGAATTAAGGGGTGGGGGGAGATCCGTGGGAGATGACACAGACCTGGAAGTAGCAGACATCGCTTGTCCCCATATACAAAGGACAGCGCCACACACAAGAATGGGTCCATATCCCCACCTACTGGGCACGGTACCAGGGATGGGATCCACCCAGATGCCCCATTTCCAGGACTCACCCCTATGCCCAGTGCTAAGTGGTCCCACAGGGCTTAAAGGTAAATTGGAAAATAAGTGGCAAACTACCCTCTATTCTTTCACTAGTTATCAGTGGTCTATAAAGCTACTGCTTTGTCCTTGATTTGGGACTGTCTGATCAAATCAAGTAGAAATTTGTAGAGATGAGGCAGGATGTGAAAATACCATTAATTGGGACTATATCACATTAAAAAGCAAAAGAAAATTAACACATGCAAAATCAAGACAGCCTACTGAACGGGAGAGGATATTTATATAGCATACATTTGATAAAGAGTTAATATTCAAGGTATATAAATAACTCGTACAACTCAACAATAATTTTTTTTAATGGCCAGAAGTTCTGAACAGGGACTTCTCCAGAGAGGATACACAGATGGCTGGGAGTAAGGGGGTAGGTGTCCAGTCAATGATGACTGATGTTTCACGTTGTTAAATAAGTTAAAAATTAAGGGGAAAATGTTCCAAAATATATAACAGTTCATTGATTCTGTAAAAAGTAGATAAATTCATAGAAGTAGTAAAGTAATGAAGACTGAGATGTTGCCTATTGTCATGAAACAGTTGAGTGTTTTTTAAAATATTTCTCTAGCGTGTAATAAGAGAACTGTGGTCAATAAAATAACACTATGTTGCAAATGACAAAATGCATGAAGTATTTGTAATTAAAGAGAGGTTCTTGGACCTCATTAACATCAAAGAGACAATTGATACCAACTTACACATGGTTGTCAAAAATACATATTTGCAAAAACCAAAAGCAACCACAAGCAAACAGCAAAAATGGTGGTTTTAATAGAAAATATGGCTCTGCTTGTGAAAATGACAACAGAAAAAATGAGCATTTAAAAAAATGTAGCAAAGACAGAAGTGTGGCTGGTCACATTCATCTGTTTTCTGATAATAGTTACAAACATAAGATAAATTTTTAAAGAATGGGTCCCAAAAGTATACAGAAAAAACTTCACATTTAAGAGAAAAATAATTAAATGAAAATGGCCATGTGGCAAAGAGTTCAGCAAACCTAAAAAATGTGTTTTTGAGATCACAGCCTAGGTGGGAAGATGAGAGAATAAAACAGGATATTCATCTTTTTTAAAAGTGTGTTACCCATCGACATTATGAAAAATAGTATGTTTCTCAAATATTAAACTCTAACCATATGATGCAGCAATTCACAAAGGAAAGCAGAAGCAGGTATTTGTTGTACATGCTCATAGCAACATAATTCACAAGAGTCAAAAGGTGGAAGCTACATAAATGTTCCTTGACAGATAAATGGATGAACAAAATGGTATATACATACAATGGAATATCATTCAGCCTTCAAAAGGAGTCTGACACATGCTACAATAGGAATGAAACTTGAGGACATTATTCTAAGTGAAATAAGCTAACCACAAAATATCAAAAACTGTGTTATTGCATTTAGATGAAATATTTAGAATAGTCAAATTCACTGAAGCAGGAAATAAAATGGTGGTTGTCAATTGTTGAGAAGAAGGGCCAGTGAGGAGCTGTTTAGTGGGGACAGAGCTTCATCTCTGCAGATGACAAATTTGGGAGACTGGTTACATCATCAGGTGAATATACTTAATTATACTAAATAGACTGTAAAATTTTAATGTATTTTCCATAATAAAAAAATGTTACCCAAAAGTGAATCTGTATGATTATTTAAAAAGCCAAAATTCAGTTAGATATTTGCTCTTACAGAAAAGATGGCGACTAAAGATTATATAAACATGATATGTTCACCCCAATATGGTGTTTAATTAGAATAAAATACAATAATACCAAGAGTTTTTATACCATGTACTGGTTTATGCTTCCAATACAAAGGGAAGAATGACATCGAATGGTTCAGAAATACATTTTGTATCTTATTAAAATACCCGTCTTTAACAAAATATTAAAGACAATTTAATTTTTTTACCAATAACATGGCCCAGACTGCTAAAGTCACTTAAGATTCATCATAAAAGCTAGGCCTCTAGGCTCAATTCAATATATATTACTTTTTTCAAAATAAAACAAGAATTTGAAGTTTTTATCTACAATTTAATCTGCGTGATACCTTTAATTTCCTACTAATACTTCTACAAATACTAATTTTTGTTTTTTTAAACAACCTAACTAGCACATTAATGGGATTGAAGACAAACGCTACACCACTTCCTGATACAGTCCTATCATGGTGTGACTGATGAAAACATTTTAAATACTTTCCTATATAAAACAATAAATTAAAAGTATAATTTTTGTCACTGGTAGATTTCTAAGAAAATGCATTTAAATAATTTCAATAAGCAATTACGGTTTTCATGTTAAATTAAAAAATATAAACATTACATATCACCAAAAAAGGGAATTCTACAGATCATGTTGACATTCTCTGAAGTTTTTATCATTTTAAATTTTCATTTTCCTGAAGAAAAAAAGCTAAAAGGGCCTCCCTGGTGGCGCAAAGGGTTAAGATGCAATATGAGGGCTTCCCGGGTGGCGCAGCGGTTGAGCCTGGGCTGCGAAGCTGCCCGCAGTCTCTTCAGCGCCGGTTCGATCCCGGCCGCCGGCGAGGGTCCCACGCGGCGCGCAGACCCCTCCTGCCTGAGAAGGGATTCAAACAAGGGGAACGGAGAGTTAGTATCTCCACGTTAGCAGCTTCAGTATAGAGCCTCCCGGTGGCGCAGCGGTTGATCGCTGGGCTGCGAAACTGCCCTCAGCCTCTGCAGCGCCGGTTCGATCCCCGGCCACCGGTCTGCAGCGGCTGCGAAGATTCTTGCAGCCTCTGCAACTCTGGCTCGCTCCCCGGCCGCCCGGGCCCGGGTCCATCCCCGCCCGCTGGCGGGGGTCCCCCAGGTCCATCCCTGGCCGCCGGGCGGGGGTCCCACATGGCGCGCAGACCTCTTCTGCCGCCTATTGCTCCCCTCAGCAGTGTTTCATCAGTCTGCCTGTTCTGTTCCCCACTCTGTCTCTGGAGGAGCCTCTCACCCCCCACGCCTCTGGCCTGTACCCCAATTCTTGCATGCATGCATGAATAAATAAAAGCTGGAGGTTTCCCTAGAGAACAAATAAGGCCAACAAGTCTATCCATTAGGGGCTCCCTCTGGGTGAGTCCTCTGACTTCTGCATGACCCCAGGTAATTAGGGTTACCCTCTCTGTGACCCCAAGTGACTAGGAGACCCCAACCCTGAAACACCGAAGTCTGCACCAAGCTCACTGACCTCTTCGTGGGCCAAACGACCTCTGCACGACCCCGAGCAATCAGATTTGACCCCGTGGGAACTCACTGAGCCTCCTGACTCTCAGGGCTCAGGAGAGCCGGGCTGTGCAAAGGTGTAGAATATTCTCTCTGCTTATTTTTTTCATCTTTCAGTATGTTTTATTTTTCCTGTAACCGGGATACAATTAAACCAACGCTACTTAAGTCTCACTTTAGGTTCATTATGAGCCATTTCGGTGTTTGTGAGGACGCACATTCTAGTAACTGGGAAACTAAAGCCCACAAACTTACTCAATTTTGATGTAATTACAAAATAAGAAACACATGGTGCGGGGCCGCCCTGGGGGCGCAAGGGCTTAAGCACCCCGCTATGGAGCAGTCTGCAGCCTCCGCGGCACGAGTTCGATCCCCGGCCAGGGAGCTGCCCACAGGGCGCAGCAGACCTCTCCTGTCTCCCCGCTGCTCCCCGCTGCAGTGTATTTCAGTCCATCTGCCTGTTCTGCTCCCTGCTCTGTCTCTGGTGCATCCTCTCACCCCCACACCTCTGGCCTGCACCCCAGTTCTTGTATGCATAAATAAATATATCTTTAAAAAAAATAAGCGAAGAGCAACAACTGCCCCAGGCACTCACACCCCAGAGCTGCTCCGTGGGGCCGGGGCGCCGGGTCCAGGCCCCGCGCGGGTCCTGCGGCCTCCGGGCAGGCGCGGCGTCCCCGCGGGTTCGGGGGCTCCCGCTGCTCGGCCCGCTGCGCCGGGGCTCCCCCACCCGCACGGCCGCGCGCTCGGGCACCCCGGGGAGAGGGGGCTGGGGGGGGCCTCCAGGACGCATTCCCTACTCACCTGGGCTCAGGGAACCCCCGAGGGCGTCCTGGGCTGCTGGGGGACGGCGCCTCTGGACCCCAAAAGCCACATGAGGGAATGGAAGGCTTCAAGGATGAAACCAAACTCCTAACTCAGTCCCGCCGGGTCCGCAGACGCTGCAGGGAAAGGGACGGCGCGGCCGGAGGCCTGTCCCTCCCGACGGGCGACCCGCGCCGGGGGGCGGCTCACCCCGCCCTGCCCCCGCGGGCGTGGGGCCCGCCCGCCCCTGGGCGCCCCCGCGGTCCGCCCTCCGGCGCCGCGCCCCGAGTCTCGCTCAGACGCCCCGACGCGCCCGCGGCCCGCGCCCAGGGGGGCCCGCGCCGGGGCCGGCCGCGCTGCGGGGCTGCAGGTCCCCCCGGGTCCCCGCTGCCTGACGCGCGTGGGGGACACGCGCCCCCAAACCCGTCCTTCTCCGGCCGTGCCCCGCCCCCCTCTCCGGAGGCGCGGACGGCGCAGCGGCCGGGGGAGGAGACGCGACGGGCGCGGGGACGGCCGGACTCGACGGCGCCGCCTGGCGGGCCGGGGCGGCAGCGCGGGGAGCCCCGGGGGCGGCTGCGGGCGGGGGCGGCGCGGGGAGCCCCGGGGGCGGCTGCGGGCGGGGGCGGCGCGGGGAGCTGGGGGCGCTGCCTGGGGGGCGCGGGAGGAAACGCGGGCAGTCGCGGCCGTCGGAAGTTGGGGGGCTCTGGGAAATGGAGGAAATGCGGGGCGCGGGGCTGAGCCGAGCCTGCGAGGCTGTCCGCGGCCCCCGCAGCACGAGTTCGAGCCCTGGCCAGGGACGTACCCCCAGGGGCCGCAGACCCCTCCCGACCCCCGCTGCCCCCAGCCGTGTGTGCCGGTGGCTCTGCCTGCAACCCCCCCCCGTCTCTGCTGAGTCCTCGCCCCCTGCACTCCGGCCGCACCCCACTTCTTGTGTGCGTAAATCAATCTTTTCAAAACAACGGAGGACGCGCCTTCGCGGTCGGCGCCGCGGACGAGCAGCAAGACGGTGCCCGGCAGGAGAGCGGGGCGCGGGCCCGGGGGGCGGAGGGACCCCGCGGGGCAGGCGCGGGGCGACGGGCGCGACTCGCCGCGGGGACTGGAGGGGGCGGGAGGGGCCTCGGGGCCGGGCGCGGGGGGCGAGGGCGCCGCCTGGCGGCCAGCGAGCGGCACGGCAGCGCGCGAGGAGCCGCCGAGGAGCCGCCGAGGAGCCGCCGAGGAGCCGCCGGGCGCGGAGCCGGGCGGGCCAGGCCGGGTCGGAGCCTCAGGCCCGCGGGCCCGGGAGGCGGCCGGGAGGGGCGGGGCGCGGGGGGCCGGGAGGGGCGGGCCGGGGGGTGTCGTTCCTGCGGGGGATGGCGGGGCCGGCGCGCCCACTCGCCTGCAGTCCTCGCAAAATAAATTGCGACCACCCTGCTGCAGCGCGCTCGGCGTCTGTTTTTACTGTTCTGTTCACGAGAAACTAATTCCATGATTGGGAAACGCCAAATGAAAACCCCAGGGGACGGCCCAATAGATGACAGGGCGCACAAAAATGAAAGAGAGCAAGGAGCAAAAACTGAGTAGTGTCTAATGAGCTGGAAAACACTCACGTTAGTGTTAAATAAAGCAGAATCTGCACCAGACTGTCCGTACTCGTGAAATAGCCTCTCTAACCCCGTGTGCACGCGGAATAGAATGGGCGAGTTACACAGCGGTGGAAATTAGGCTCTAGCTGCATCCAGTGTGGCTTAATCTTGCCGAAATATTGCTGAGAGTCAAGATGTAAAATAAATATGATTTAATTTATTCAGATTTTAAAGAATAGACAGAATTAAAACCATGCTTTAACCATACATTTAGTAACGCACACTTAGGTGATAAATGATGGTGAAGAGCAAGGGAAAAATTTTTTTTAAAGATTTATTTATTTATTTATGCATACAAGAGCTGGGGTACAGGCCAGAGAGGTGAGAGGATTCACCAGAGACAGAGCGGGGAGCAGAACAGGCAGACTAACCAAAATACACTGCTGAGGGGAGCAGCGGGCAAGTCAGGACAGGTCTGCTGTGCCATGAGGGTATCTCCCTGTCCGGGAATCGAACTCGTGCTGCAGAGGCTGCGGACAGCTTCACAGGTTGCATCTCAACCCCTGCGTCACAACCCCTGAGCCACCAGGGAGGCCCAGCAAGGGAAATAATTTTTTTTTAAAGATTGTATTTATACAAGAACCGGGGTACAGGCCAGATGCGCAGGAGGGTGACAGGATTCACCAGAGACAGAGCAGGGAACAGGTAGACTGACGAAATACACTGCTGAGGGGAGCAGCGGGCGAGACAGGAGAGGTCTGCTTGCCATGTGGGTTGCACTGAGAACCAGCACTGCAGAGGCTGCGGACAGCTTCACAGCGCTGTGCTCAACCACCTGCATCACCAGGGAGGCCCTGCATCTTTTTTTTTTTTTTTTAAGATTTATTTATTTATGCACACAAGAGCTGGGGTACAGGCCAGAGGTGCGGGGCGGGTGTTTGTGAGCGGATTCACCAGAGACAGAGCGGGGAGCAGAACAGGCAGACTGACTGAAATACACTGCTGAGGGGAGCAGTGGGCGAGACAGAAGAGGCCTGCTGCACCATGTGAGTAGCTCCCTGGCAGGCCGGGGATCGAACTCACGCTGCAGAGGCTGTGGACCGTTTCATAGTGTGGAGCTTACCCTTGCGCCACCCGGGAGGCCCAACTCTGCATCTTTTTTGTGTAAATACAGAAGCTGATTCTGAATGGATATGAAAATGAAAAGGTCCAAGCATTTCCAAAGTGTTGAAAATGAACCAGGTGAGGGCAACCTGGTGGCACAGGGGTTACGTCTCAGTGCTACCACCTCCAAGGCCCACCTCAATGGCCTGAGTTTGATTCCTGGCCAGGGACACAACCCACATGGTATAGCAGCTCTCCGTCTCACCTGCTGCTCCCCTCAGCAGTGGATTTCAGTCAATCTGCCTGTTCTGCTCCCCACTCTGCTTCTAGTGAATCCTTTCACCCACCACCCCCACCTCTGGCCTACGCCCCAGTTCAACACAAAATTAAAAAATAAAAAACTTAACAAATAAATGAACCAGCTGGGAGGACGTCTCTGCAGGATATGAAAATATTTTACAGAGGCCTCCCTGGTGGCCTAGGGGTTAAGTGTCAGCCCTATAACCATTATGGCCTGACTTCGCTCTCCGGCCACGGAGGTGACCCACATGGCGGAGCAGACCTCTCCTGTTTCGCCCACTGCTCCCCCTCAGCAGTGTATTTTGGTACATCTGCCTGTCTTGTTCCCCACTCTGTCTCTGGAGAATTCTCTAACCCCCACACATCTGGCCGACACCCCATTCTTCTATGCAAAAAGTTCTTCTATATAAAAATAAACAAAACATTTTTTTAAAAAAAGACGATACTTTACAAGTATTCAGTGAATGAGACCTCGTAGCGCTGCGGGAAGGAGACACAAGGCAGGGAGCCCTGGGGTGTGTGCAGGGACTCATGTCCCAGCTGTCCCTGCAGGGCGATCTCAGTCCCCAATAAATGCTGCTGGGGCACATAGAAAATCTTCAGGAAAGAGGAACATTTGGTGCCTACAACCTATCACATCAAACAGTCAATATTTAAATGCCAAGCAACTTTTAGAAGAACTACAAGCCTTTGCTTTGGAGTTGGTTATTCCACATAAGCCAAAAGGTCAGGAATTAGGACAATGTAACAGAAAAGCATCATCACAAAATTAGTCATCAGAAGTCACTGCATATACTCCTCCTTAAACTTAATTTCAAAGACAATGAAAGGGTCACAATCCCATCAAGCATGACACATCCATGCTGCATAAGCATGTCCCTGAGCAATACCACCTCTCCCTTGCAATCCTGCACCTTTCATACTGTGATGCAGAGGAACAATACTATGATCTAAAGTCAACACATCTTGTTACATGCTGAGCTAGAGAGGGAATAAAACGAAGATATTTTACACACACATACACACACACAACACACATAACACACACGACATACTTGTATCAAAATGAGATCATCAGGACAAGGAGGCCTCATTTCTGTAAGGGGTCGTGGAGTCATACTTGGTATTTATGACTTTTTTACCTTTTCCCACTACTTGTTCATCATGTCCTTTCCGTTCAGCAAGCACCTCACCTATGTGTGGGATCCCCAAACCCCCTCGTTCTCAGGGTTATTGTCCTGGTGACCAGAGTCCCTGCCTGTCGGCTAGGTGGAGGGTCAGGCAGGGGCCTCTCACCAAGGGCAAAAGTCCAGGTATGAGGAACATCCCGGGAAACCGGTGCCTGCTGACAACAGGAGGCAGACGACAGAACAGACGTAACATGCTTTGGCCAGCGGGAAGAACAGAGCCCCAGGCTATAGCCCCTGCTCACTCCAACATAGCTACACCCCTACGGCCATCCCCACACTGTGCACTCCCTACTCATTCGCCCAACTTCTGCACCTGATGTTTCACAATAGGACACTGCCTTTGGGCTGGCTGCACACACTTCCAGTGTAGCCCCTGCAGGCTTCTCATCACTCCACTTGGACTTGAGGAATCTCCCCTCATCCCATGGGGCTTCCAACACTGCCCCCCTCAAACACACACACACACCCAGGAGACAATTATGTTGTTTCTTGGGGTAGTAACCCAAACCTCCATTCCTGAAGGGTCTGGCCATGGGCATGCTGCCAGCAGTGGGCTGTTAGTTTCTCATGGATCTTACCACAGGGCACGGTCATTCTAAAAGAAACCCTGAGTCTCCCGTATCACAGACACACTGTCCTTACCCCACGGGGGGGCAGTTGTCCGATTTGCCAGTGGTGGTCAGGTCAGTCACACCAGATTGCTCAACTCCATCTTGGTCTGCTGATTGAGGCAGGAGGAACCGGGAGGGATTGGGCAGCAGCCTGAACTGCCAGGTCGATGGAATCACCCTTGTGTCTGGGAGGATGCATCCCTCCCTCTGGAATTCTAGGCCAGTGGAGCAGAAAGTTGCAGGGACAGGAACCAAAGTGTGCCAGTCTTGCCAGAGATAAACACTGTAACTGAGTCTTCAGAAAACCACCCTTAAGGTCAGCAGCTTCTGGCTGGTAGGGAATGTGGCATGAGGGATGAATTCCACAAGCGCGGGTGCCCTGCAGGACTTCCTCCACCGCTGAGGGATGTCCTTGATCAAAGCCATGAAGACACCATGACATTGGGGATGGTTCTCTATAAAGCTACTGATGGCAGGTTTTTTTTGTTGGTTTTTTGTGTTTTTTTTGAAAGACTTATTTTTATTTATTTGTGCATACAAGAACTGGGGTGTAGTCCAGAGGTGTGGGGTGGGGGTGAGAGGATTCACCAGAGACAGAGTGGGGAGTAGAACAGAAACCTACTACAGTGGGGAGCAGCAGGTGAGACAGGAGAGGTCTGCTGCACCACGTGCTGGTCAGCTCCCTGGTCAGGAATGGAACTCAGGCCTCAGCGGTGGCAGCATGATAGCTCTCAGACTTAACTCCTCCACCACCAGGGAGGCCCAGCCTGATGGCGGTTTTGGCAGAAGCATGTGTGCAGGGAAGCCGGGTCCATGTCCAGTTGTGTCTTGTCCACATCCCCTGTCATTCCTGCTATTACCCGAGGCACACGTTTCGCTTCTCTGAGTACGTCATGCTACGCCAGCACATTCATCTCCTTGACTCCTCCCGGTAGAAAAGTTTACATGAGACACAGTAAGTTCCTAAAAAACTCATTTTCAAATTCCAGTCCTAATAAATATCTAGGTGAGTGTCCACATTTGCCTCGAGTTTAATCTTTCTTCATTCAAGTCCCCTTGGCTAACTCACACCTAATATCAAATTTAAAAGCTACTTCATCTTTCCTTCCTACAAGCAAAAGGAGAAGCGTGTCACGTTCTTGCGTGTGAACACCCATTATGAATGAGGCCCTTTCGTCCTTCACCAAAAAGTTAAAACCAGTCCTACATAACATGTCAGAGAGCAGTGTGGGCTTGCAAAAATACAGACAAAAAACTCTTATCTCTAACCCTAAGCCTTCCATATTGATACAGTCTTCACCCTTTGGCTCCGAAGACAAACCTATAAAGTCACATGTACTCCAGGGCCACAGAATATGAAAAGACATCCGGGGCAGTTTTCAGTGACCTGGTTGGATTCAAGTTCACACTTGTGTTTAAAATTTCCTGGCCTGGGGTCCACCGTAGTGGCCCAGGGATTAAGTCTCAGCACTCTCAAGCTAGCACCAGCCACTCTGCCATGATCGATTCCCAGCCAGGGAGCTACCCGCATGGCCCAGCAGCCTCTCCGGTCTCGCCCACTGCTCTCCTCAGCAGTGCTTTTCAGTTAGTCCACCTGTTCTGTTCCCCACTCTCTCTCTGGTGCCTCCTCTTACTCTGGCCTAAACCCCAGTTCTTGTATGCATAAATAAATAAATCTTTAAAATCTCCTTGCCACAACTAAATTACCCGTGGTTAAGGGGGGTATTGGGGAGAATGCAGTTTGCATCAAACTGAAGAATACTGAAATTGTGAATGAATGGTCAGTCTTGGCTAGTCAAGGTTACAGTTCTGGGATGGTTAGTGAGATGTGCTTTCTGGAAGAAAGTTTTTGTACATTCTTCACATTCATAGGGTTTCTCTCCTGTGTGAATCCTCTGATGTGCCTTAAGGGCTGAGTGCCTCAAGAAAGTTTTCCTACATTCATCACACTCATGGGTTTGTTCTCCTGTGTGAATTTTCTGGTGATTCTTGAGGGCTGACTGCCAGAGGAACGTTTTCCCACATTCTTCACACTCATAGTTTTTTTTCTTATGTGAATTCCCTGGTGTCTCTTGAGGGATGACTGCCAGGAGAAAGTTCTCCCACATTCTTCACACTCATAGGGTTTCTCTCCTGTGTGAATTCCCTGGTGTCTCTTGAGATCTGACATCCAGAAGAAAGTTTTCCCACATTCTTTACACTCATGGGGTTTCTCTCCTGTATGATTACTCTGGTGTCTCTTGAGTGCTGATAGGCAAAAGTAAGATTTCCCACATTCTTTACACTCGTGGGATTTCTCTCCTGTGTGAATTCTCTGGTGTCTCATGAAGGACGACTTCCTCGAGAAGAATTTCCCACATTCTTTACATTCATAGGGTTTCTCTCCAGTGTGAGTGCTCTGGTGTCTCTCAAGGTCTAACGGCCGTATGAAGGTTTTCCCACATTCTTTACATTCATAGGGTTTCTCTCCTGAGTGATTTCTCAGATGTATCTTGAGGGATGATTGCCAAAAGAAAGTTTTCCTACATTCTTTACATTCATAGCGTTTCTCTCCCGTGTGATTTCTCTGATGTATCCTGAGGGATGACTCCCACAAGAAGGTTTTCCCACATTGTTTACACTGATAGGGTTTCTCTCCTGTGTGAGTTCTCTGATGTATCTTGAGGTCTAATGGCCAGAAGAAGGCTTTCCTACATTCTTTACACTCATAGGGTTTCTCTCCTGTGTGAATTCTCTGATGTATCTTGAGGTATGGCTGCCACAGGAATGTTTTCCCACATTCTTTGCACTCATAACGTTTCTCTCCTGTGTGAATTCTCTGATGTATCTTGAGGGATGACTGCCAGAAGAAAGTTTTCCCACATTCTTCACACTCATATCGTTTTTCTCCTGCATGCATTCTCTGATGCAGCTTGAGGTATGACAGCCACAAGAAGGTTTTACCACATTCTTTACATTCATAGTGTTTCTTACCTGTGTGATGTCTTTGATGTATCCTGAGGGATGACCGCCACAAGAAGGTTTTCCTACATTCTTTGCACTCATATCGTTTCTCTCCTGTGTGAATTCTATGGTGTCTCTTGAGGGATGACAGCCACAAGAAGGTTTTACCACATTCTTTGCATTCATATCGTTTCTCTCCCGTGTGAATTCTCTGATGTATCTTGAGGTCAAACGGCCAGAAAAAGGCTTCCCCACATTCTTTACATTCATAGGCTTTCTCTCCTGTGTGAATTCTCTGATGCATCTTGAGGTATGACCGCCACAAGAAAGTTTTCCCACATTCTTTACATTCATAGCGCTTCTCTCCTGTGTGAATTCTCTGATGTATCTTGAGGGAAGACCGCCACAAGAAGGTTTTCCTACATTCCTTGCATTCATAGCGTTTCTCTCCTGTGTGAATTCTCTGATGTATCTTCAGGGATGACTGCCACAAGAAGGTTTTCCTACATTCTTTGCATTCATAGTGTTTCTCTCCTGTGTGAATTCTCTGATGTATCTCAAGAGATGACCGCAACAGGAAGGATTTCCTACATTCTTTACATTCATAGGGTTTCTTTCCAGTGTGAGTATTCTGATGTTTATTGAGATATGACTTCCTGTTAAAAGTTTTCCCACATTCTTTACGTTCATAGGGTTTCTTTCCAGTCTGAGTGCGCTGATGTATCTTGAGGGTTGCTGACTCTTGGAAGAAAGTTTTCCTATATTTTTTATTTTTATAGGGTTTTACACCTGTGGGGGTTTGCTGATGGCTCTTGAAAGTTGACTTCCGGGTGAAACTTTTCATACTCTTTTTATACTCATAAGATTTCTCCCCTGTAACAGTTCTCCGATGTTTCTTGAGGGTTGAATTCTTACAGGTCTTCCAACATTCATAAGGTTGCTCACCTGTTTGTATTTTATAAACTTGAGTTAAACAGATATTTCACAGAAACACATAAGACAAATCATATTAGTTTTTTCTCTCCTGAGTTTTCGGACAGTGAGTGTGCTGGAATTTGTTCCTAAAATTATTCTGACTTAGATTACATTTATGATGTGTCTATTCAAAATATCTGTGAAAAATAAATTTTGCTAGAATCTCAAAAAATATTTTCTCCTATTTGTTACATTCTTACTGAGTCTCCTCGATGGAGTCCTCTCTTTGGCAATGGATTCTGACATTTCACGGGATTCCCCACATTCATTACATATGTAGGTAGTCTCTCCCATAACACAAGGAGACAAAGTGTACTATGGCCTTGAACCGGGGAACCATTACTGATAAACAGGTCCATGTGCCCAGTATCTTAGGGACTTGCTCTCCCCACCCTCCCTGCCCAGCATGCACTGACTGACCTGAGAGGCTCTGCTTTTGGGGGTTCTCTGCAGTCCATGGCTGTGCTCCTGCTTCCAACCTGATGATCACTTCAGGTTTCCTAATACAACATCCTGTTGATAAGAAATAAAGAAGGACTTTGACGAAACTTGTGAGGTTCATGGCCTTCAAAAAATGACAATAGAAGAGTTTTAAGAGGGCCTCCCTGGTGGCGCAGGGGTTAAGACGCAACCTATGAAGCTATCCGCACCCACTGCAGCACGAGTTCGATCCCCGGCCAGCCAGGAAGCAACCCATATGGCACAGAACTCTCCCGACTCACCCGCTGCTCGCCTCAGCAGTGTACTTCGGTCAATCTGCCTGTTCTGTTCCCCACTCTTGTCTCTGGTGAATCCTCTCACCCCCCATATCTCTGGCCTGCATCCCATCTATTGTATGCATAAATAAATTTTTAAAAGAAAAGAAGAGTTTTAAGAGTTGTGTTACTTTTTGTTTTTGTGTGTGTGGAAGACTAGTTCCCAGCTGTGCTGGGGAGTCTCATCCCCAATCTCCTTTTCGTGACTCACCACTATTCACTCTCATCAAGGAACAGGTCGGTCTGGAGGCCACAGCTTTGAAAGACACCAAAGTTATGTCTGTGAAACCAGAGATGGTGATACTCCAAATTACAATTACTTGGAGCAGCCCAACATGAAATTTTGGGGAAGGCCTGTGCCACCTGACAAAGGTGCAAAGAAAAGAACCTCAACATGAAAGGACCAGCTCAAATCTTATAAAACTCTGAGAATCAGCACAAAAATTCCATTGGTGAAGATTCGAAGACTTGGGAACATTTTCAAGTGAGGATCCACAAGCAACTCAAAATCCTTCTGGATTGTTTGACAGATTACTTCCACCAGCACTGAGCCAGGTGCTGAGGCTGATCTCGATCTCCAAAATAAATTGATAATCAATTTTTTTAAAAAATTGTTTAATGGGGCCTCACTGGTGGCGCAAGGGGTTAAGCACTGCACTATGAAGCTGTCCGCAGCCTCTGCAGCATGAGTTCAAAACCCGGCCGGCCAGGGAGCCACATGGTGCAGCAGACCTCTCCTGCCTCTCCCACTGCTCCCCTCAGCAGTGTGCTTCAGTCAGTCTGTCTGTCTGTTCCCCACTCTGCACAAGTAATGATCCCCAGCCGGCCAGGGAGTAACCCACAAGGCACAGCAGAACTCTCCCAACTTGCTCTGTCTCTGGTGAATACCCTCCCTCCCCAAATCTCTGGCCTGTACCCCAGCACTTGTATGCATAAATAAATAAATCTTAAAAAAAATTGTTTATGGAGGGCAAATTTAAGCCTATAGGAGCAAACTGTATAGTCACATTCTCACTGGCTTGGAATTTTAAGCATTTTACTTTTAAATTTTTATCTAGTATTAAAGTTTAATTTAAATAAAATAGCATCTATTTTCATAAACTTGTATATTTACCATAAAGAAAGCTATCCATGTGGGCCTCCTTGGTGGCCTAGGGGTAAGTCTCAGCACTATCACCTCTGTGGCCAGAGTTTAACCCCGGCCAGGGAGCTAATGCACATGGCGCAGCAGACCTCTCCTGGCTCAGCCAGTGCCCACCTCAGCAGTGTATTTCAGTAGATCTGCCTGTTCTGCTCCCCATTGTCTCTGGTGAACCCTCTCACCCTCGGCACCTCTGGCCTATACCCCAGTTCTTGTATGCACAAATAAAAAAAAATTTTGAAAAAAATAAACAAACATACAAAAAAAAAAAAAAAAAAGAAAACTGTCCTTGCGCTTGGCAGTGGAGGGAAGCGTCACTCACCCAGGGACACCAGGGTCCTGTAGGTCTCCAGCATCACATCCCTGTACAGGGTCCTCTGAGCATCGTCCAGGTCCTGCCATTCCTCCCGGGTGAAGTTCACAGCCACGTCCTTGAATGACACTATTCCCTGTAATAGTGACAGGGCTAGGTCAGAAAAGCAGGAAGTCTGGGAGTTCATAATTTTTTTTTAAGATGCATTTATTTATGTATACAAAACCTGGGGTGTAGGCCAGATATGTGGGGGGTAAGAGGATTCACGAGAGACAGAGTGGGGAGCTGAACAGGCAGACTGACTGAAATACACTGCTGAGGGGAGCAGCGGGTGAGAGAAGAGAGGTCTGCTACGCCATGTGGGTCAGCTCCCTGGCCGGGGACTAAATTCAGGGTGCAGTGGTGACAGTGTGATAGCCCTGAGACTTAAACCCTTACACCACCAGGGAAGCCCCCCAGATCTGTTTTAGTTCATCGTTCCCAAATATACATGCAGAGCTTCCTTCTAAAAACTGGAAATGCTCTTGTTTCAAAAATAGGATAAATAAAATTCTACTCCAAAAGGACTTCTCAAGTGCTTTAGAGAATTATGTATAATTCTCAATTATTGGAATAAAGCGATAGAGAAGGTATGTCAAAAACACGATAAAGGTGAGTGGGGTAAAAAAGGAGAAAAATAAAATTACTTTTGTACTAACAATATTGTACTTCAGAGAAGTCCTAAAGACATCTCATATTGCATATTTGCCCAAACCCATAAAAACCACAATACCAAAACTGAATCAGAATGCAAACTACTTGCTTTGGGTGGTAATGATGAGTCAATGTTGCTGTGTGATTGTAACAAACGTACCACTGTAATGGGGTGATGTCAATATAGAGGAGGCGATGTGTGTGGGGATTATTCAGGGAATATATCTGAAGTCACTGGCCTGCTCACTTGTGATGTGAACCTAAATCTGCGATAAAAGGGTCTACCTGGCAGCACAAGGGGTTAAGCATAGCACTATGAAGCTATCCAAAGCTTCTGCAGCACGAGTTCGATCCCCGGCTAGGGAGCTACCCACATGGCACAGCAGACCTCTCCTGTCTCACCCGCTGCTTCCCTCAGCAGTGTATTTCGGCCAGTGTGCCTGTTCTGTTCCCCACTCTGTCTCTTGCACCCTTGCACCCTGTACCCCAGTACTTATATGCATAAACAAATAAATCTTTAAAAAACAAAATAAATCTGCTAGAAAAATAAAGTCTATTGGCAGCAGTCCTTCTGCCCACCCATGACTATGCAGGTGCCTCCTTTCACCAACTCTGTCCCTCCGCAGGGCAGTAGCTTCCTGCCTGCCCGTCACCTGTACCTGCTGGGGCGTCTCCTCACTGGCCTCCCTCAGTGCAGGCAGCTCTCCTCCAGGTCACGCGCCTGCAACCACACAGGCCTCTCTCAGCAAACCTGTCCCTTTCAGGGTAGCTCTCTCTGACCCCTTGTGTCTGTGCAAGTGTCCTTTAATCTCCTGTCCCTTTTCTAATAAACCTGTTCTTTCAAACACAAAAATAAATAAAGCCTATTAAAAAAGGGCAGGGCCTCCCTGGTGGCGCAAGGGGTTAAGTCTCAGTACTATGAAGCTGTCCGCAGCCTCTGCAGCACGAGTTCCATCCCCGGCCAGGGAGCTACCCACATGGCGCAGCAGACCTCTCCTGTCTCCCCTGCTGCTCCCCTCAGCAGTGTGTTTCAGTCAATCTGCCTGTTCTGCTCCCCACTCTGTCTCTGGTGAATCCTCTTACACCCCGCTACTTTGGCCTATATCCTAGCTCTTGTGTGCATGAATACATAAATCACTAAAAAAATAATAATTATAATGGAGCAACTGTTAACCAGAATTCCAGACAATAGCATAGTGAGTTTCCCAATTAATTTTGAATAATAAGTTAATGCAGCAGAATCAAATACAGTCTATAAAAGAGTTTGAAATGTTGCAGGGCATTGTTGGAGCTAGAAATATTCAACTGCATTTTAATAAAAGACAGTGTCACATAAATTTATAAAAACAAAAAAATGATGAGATTCTGTGTGCTTTGACCCGTGTTCAAACAACTCTCACGGACTCCTGAGGGCTAGCTCACACCCAGGGTGCCTGACAGCCATCCCCACAAGCTTCGCCGAGTAGGACAGCTTACAGGGGACAAAGCCGGTCATGGAGCCAGTACATCCTTCAGGTTTTGCCAAGGAGGCATATTATGATATAAAAGAGGAAGTTCTGTATTTGCTCAAGAGCACCAATGCAGATTTTTTTTAAAAAAAGATTTATTTATTTATGCACACAAGAACTGGGGTACAGACCAGAGGTGCAGGGGATGAGAGGATTCACCAGAAAGAGAGTGGGAAGCAGAAGGCAGACCAACTGAAATACACTGCTGAGGCGAGCAGTGGGCCAGACAAGAAAGGTCTGCTGCACTACGTGGGTCAGCTCCCTGGCCGGGGGTCGAACCTGACCTGCAGTGGCTGCGGATAGCTTCGTATGTTGTGTCTTAATCCCCTGTGCCACCAGGGAGGCCCCACCAATGCAGATTTTTAAAAAATTAACAGAACAAAGCCCAGGACTTTCACTGGATCAGATTAAACCTGACAGCGGAGGAGGTAATCCCAAGCTGGTAGAAAGGCCCATCCTGAGCGCATTTGTCCATCCCATGTGTTGAGCTGGAAGTGCCTTCTGGAAATGTACAATAAAGCCCTCAACCGGGAATTGAACCTGGGGAGAGAAGACTGTGCAGGGGGTCCAAGCTGGAGGGAAAGAGTTGGGACCCTCCAACCCACAGAGGGCTGACTACCCGGGGAGGGCTGCAGAGTGTGAAGATCACGGCGGTGACAACATTCAGAAGAAGGAAGCACAAAAATTGCGGGAAACGGAATGAATCACCAGAGAGGCTGAGACAGAAGCTAACAGGCAAGGAATTTCCAGGACATCATGGACGGTATATTCAAATATGGCAGATGATTCGAGAATCCAACGGTGTGAGATTTGACGGTAACTTGGGTTACTGGTGAGCCTCACAACAGAGTGATGAGGGCTACACTAAGTGGGTCTGCAGCGCAAAGGAGCAGAGGAAACATGCGCCAGAAAATAGAACTTTCCACAGCCTGCTGCACAACCCGGGTGTGGGGATCAGCTGAGAGAAGCGCAAGGGCAGCAGCTGCAGGGCCTGCATGCGAGTCCATCCCCAGACACGGCAGGTGTGAGTCCTGCGTCTGCGAGGGCCTTCCCAGAGCTACCTGAGACCACGGGATTTAGCAACTGCACAAAAACCTTGTCAAGCTGGGCGTTAGCACCAGAGAGCCGTCACCACCGCGGGATGCTGGGTGCTCATTTCCAGAGGGGTCACGAGACAATGTCCACGCCGTCCTCTGTGAGACCCTACACTCCACAGACTCTGGGGCCTGCCACGGCCCGTGTCCCGGGGGAAGGCAGCGGGCCTTCCTGCAAAGGGTGGTTCACCAGGTCACGGGCGTGTCCATCTCTTCCCACGGCACCAGGTGAGCAGAGACTTGTGCTCTCTCCAGCCCCCGCCCTCCTGCTGACGCCGCCTTCCCCTTGTGTGCGTGTCTGGGCCCGAGGCAGAAGGTCACGTGGCTGCTTCCCCATTTACTCTGGGGCCCCCGTGAAGCTCGTCAAGCACGAGCAGAGCAACTAGACACATAAGGAGGAAACAGCTCACCCGAGGCGTGGCCATGGCAGGTGCCCGGAGAGACGCACGGAGGCTGTGGAGGCCGAGCTGGGCAGAGGCCGGGCGGGTCGGGAAGAGATGGGGCGGCGGGTCCCGCCTGTGCTGCCTGAGCTCGCAGCGCGTCCGCTGAGAAGGCAAAAGCGAGAGTCTGTCCACAGCAGCGTTTCACACTTGGGGAAGGGGCAGGAAGGGACCAGCAAGTCCAGTCACTGGTAGAATTTAGATTTAAATTTACCCTGAAGGACAGAGACACACATCTGCCCTGCTGCTTTACCCGCACGGTGCTCAGCACTGACTCACTTTCCAGGGACCCGGAGCACAGCGTTTCCCCCCATGATCCTACAGAGCAGCTGCACGTCATACACACTTTGGGGGTTCCCCTTCATGGTCCCAAAGACTAGCTTCCCGGTGTCCCTCCCCTCAGGGTATCTTAGCCAACACCAACCTGGGCTTGGCCGTGTGACTTGCTTTGGGAAATCAGCACCTAGTGCTGGACGAGCTCTTGCAGCACCATCACCTCCTGAGGACACCAGGGTGGCCTGTGAGGGGCACCTGCTGAGCCAATCACCAGAAAAACCACTCAAAATTAAGTGAAGTCATCTAAAAGTGGTCAGCAGTCAAGGATCCAGATGATGGCAGTCTCACATGTCTTCCAGGTCACACCAGCCTAAAAACTGAGCAGCTCAACCCCAAAAACTCTATTATTTCAAGCCAACAATGTGGCTGGGTGTTTTTTAAGGCAGTAAATTTTGGCAGGTTCATGACAGAGCAAGTGCTGATATTGCCGCCAGGCTGATATACACAAGCTCTATATCCTTGCTTTTCTTGAAGAAAAACAAAACAAAACAAAAAACAAAACAGGAAAAAGCTGACTTAGGACAAGATATTTCCTGGGCCTCCACGGTGGCACATGGGTTAAGCACAGCACTGTGAAGCTGTCTACAGCCTCTGCAGCACGAGTTCAATCCCCGGCTGGCCAGGGAGCTACCCACATGGCACAGCATACCTATCCTGTCTCGCCCGCAGCTCCCCTCAGCAGGGTCTTTCAGTCAGTCTGCCTGTTCTGTTCCCCATTCTCTCTGGTGAATCCTCTCACACCCCTTGCACCTCTGCCCTGTACCCCTGTTCTTAAATACATAAATAAAAATAAATCTCTAAAAAAATATAACAGAAACAAAAATCAGTAACCTTCCAATATGCAAACAATCAATCCAAAGAAGATGAAATCAAGAAAACCATCCCTTTTATAATAAACACCCCCCCCAAAAAATCAAATACTTGGGAATAAACTTAACAAAAGAGGTTAAGGATCAATACAAAGAAAACTGTAAAACCTGCTAAAAGAAATAGAAGATACAAACAAATTTAAAGGTATTCCCTGCTAATGGAATGGAAGAATTAACATTAGCAAAATGTTCAACTACCAAAGCAATTTACAAATTCAACACTATCCTGATAAAAATTTCAATGATACGCGTCAAAGAAATGGAGCCAATATTGATGAAATTCATATGGAAAGCACAAAAAACCCCAGATAGCCAAAGCTCTCCTGACTAAAAAGGAGAATGGAGCTATCACACGCCCAGGCTTCAAACTATACTACAAAGCCATAATAATTAAAACTGTATGGTACTGGAACAAAAATAGACACCAGACCAATGGAATCAAATAGAAAACCCAGAAAAAAACCCACATATTGACCCTGCTGAGGGGAGCAGCAGACAACTAATCTTTCACAAAAGAGCAAATAATATGCCATGGAACAAGGATAGTATGTTCAATAAATGGTACAGGAAAACTGGACTGCCACATGCCAAAGTATGAAGCTAGACTACGATCTCACATCATGCCAAAAACCCACCTCAAAATGGATAAAAGAATTGAACATAAGACCTGGAACCATAAAACATATAGAAGAAAATGTAAGCAAAACACTACATGACATACATCTCAGTAACATCTTTTAAGACACATAACCCAATGCAAAGAAAGTGAGGAAAAGATGATGAGCTGAGATTACATCAAACTAAAAAGCTTCTGTACCACAAAAGAGACATTAACCAAAACAAAGAAAAACCCTGGTGAGTGGGAGAAATTTTAGGCACATGATACACCTGACAAGGGACCGATCACAAAGATCTACAAAGAGCTGACATGATTCAACAAAAACAAAGTAATCAATCCAGTCAAAAAATGGGCCAAAGAGCTAAAAAGACACTTCTCCAAAGAAATGAAAATGGCCAAAGGTATATGAAAAAATGTTCAATATCACTTATAATCAGGGAAATGCAAATCAAAACCACAAGGAGATACCACCTTGGTGAGGATGTGGAGAAAAAGGAACCCTTTTACATTGCAGGTGGGAATGCAAACTTGCCAATCACTATGCAAAGCTATGTGGAGGATCCTCAAACTACTAAAAATGGAGCTACCATATGACCCAGCAATTCCACTCCTAGGAATCTACCCAAAGGACACAAAAACATTATTTCGAAAGGATACCTGCACCCCTATGTTTATTGCAGCACTATTTACAAAAGGTAAGATATGGAAACAACTCACATGCCAAAAACTAGATGCCTCGATCGAGATGTGGTATAGACACACAATGGAGTATTACTCAGCTATCAGAAAAGATAAACTCATACCACCCCCAGCAACATGGATGGAGCTGGAAGGGATCATGCTCAGTGAAAGGAGCCAGAAAGAAAAAGAAAAATATAGGATGGTTTCATGTATAGGAGGAATACAGGGGAACCCAGTAAGGGATCAGGAAAAAATATATAATTATCATAAATAAAGTTAACAGGCAAACTATAAATCAGAGACATTCTACAGGGGTGGGTGAGGGAGAGGGATCAAAATAGAGGCGGGAAGAGCACAAGGACTATGGTGATGGTGCATAGGTGAATCGGAGGTGGGAATTTTATGGGGAGTACACCTGAGAGGAGAAAGCATACATTGTACAAAAAGGAATACAATAATATATAAATATAAATTTTTAAAAACAAGTAACTTTTTTTAAAAAGATTTATTTATTTATGCATACAAGAGTTGGGGTACAGGCCAGAGATGCAGGGGGTGAGAGGATTCACCAGAGAGAGAATGGGGAGCAGAATAGGCAGAATGAGCAGCGGGCGAGACAGCAGAGGTCTGCTGCACCATGTGGGTTGCTCTCTGGCGGGCTGGGAATCCAACTCCTGCTGCAGAGGCTGCGGATTGCTTCATAGTGTGGAGCTTAACCCCTTGCGCCACCAGGGAGGCCCAAAACTAGTAACTTTTTAAATAACCAAATAAAACATCTAGAAGTGAAAAAATAAAAAAAAGTAGAGCTCAGTCAGGTTACAGAAGACAAAATCAATACACAAAACTCAGGTGCGTTTCTATACCCTAATAATGACCCACCTGAAAGAGTCATTAGGAAAACGGTACCATTGACAATTGCATCAAAAAGAACGGAAGAGGGAACTCCCTGGTGGCGCAAGGGGTTTAGATGCAACCAATGAAGCAATGTGGAGCCACTGCAGCACGAGTTCGATCCCCGGCCAGGGAGATACCCACATGGCGCGGCAGATCTCTCCTGTCTCCCCGCTGCTCCCTCAGCAGTGGATTTTGGTCAGTCTGCCTGTTCTGTTCCCCACTCTGTCTCTGGTGAATCCTCTCACATCTGGCCTGTACCCCAGCTCTTGTATGCATAAATAAATAAATCTTAAAAAAAAAAAAGAACAGACTGAGAATAAATTTAACCGAGAGAAAAATCTGTACAAGGAAAAACTATTAAATACAGTTGAAACAATAAAAAAGAGGACAACGGAATTTTTCATTTCCAAGAAATTGAAAATACAAATGAATGGGGAGACGCCAGCCCGGCGAGTCCGCCCTCCCGCAGCGCCCCGGGACCGCAGGGCCGAGCCCCGCAGCGTTTTCCACAGACGCGGACGCGCCGGGGAAGGGTCTGGGCAGAGGCAGGGGGGGGCGGGAGGGGGGGCGCCAGGCTCCCTGGAGCCGGGGCCGGCGGCATCTGCGCCCCGACTTCGGCCAGTCCCCCCGCACGCGGCGGCTACCGCAGTCGGGGCGCAGGGGGCCGGGCCGCGAGGGCGGGAGCCTGGAGGGGAGGCCGCGCCTCGCGGCAGAGGAGACGGTTCCCGCGGCGGGCGCCCCCCAACCCCGGCGGGCCCCCCAAACCCGGCGAGGCCGGGGAGCCCAGGCAGGCTCACCCCTTCCTTTCCAGGACGCCCCGCGGGGACCCCTGTTGGCCTCCGCGTGCCCGCCCGGGGCGCAGGGGGCGGGGTCCCCTCTGGGGAGACGCCCTGGAGGGATCGGGGCGCAGCCGCTCAGCCCGGGCGCCCGGACGCGGCTTCGCCCTCCTGCCCGCAGACCCGGGCGGGGGGGCGGGGTGTGACCCCAGAAATGCTCACCCCGCGCTCCCCACACGACACCCCCCGTCCGCAGGAACCGAGACACCCCGACGGCCCGGGCGGCCCCGAGACCCGCACCCCGGGCTCGGCAAGGGGCGACACCCGCACCCCGGAGCAGCCCGGGCAGGGGCGCCCCTCGGGGGCGGACGGGGACCCGGGTCACGCTCAGGAAGGACCCGGACCCCCACGTTCCTCCCGGCCCCAAACGAGACCCCGAAGCCCCCGCCCCCCGCCCGGCCCGGGGCCCTGACCCGACGCCCGCGGCCCCGGGATGCGCTCACCGTCCCGCGCTCTGGCTCACGCTGCCCTCTCGGGCCAACGGTTTTCTAAGTCCAAGCCCAGATGGAGCCTCCTCGCTGGATCCAGGGAAACCGGGTGACGCCGGCCAGGACTTCACCCCAAAATCCTGACGGTCGGCGCAGGGGAGAGCCGGGGGCGGAAGCGCGCATGCGCGGCGGAGCGCCGGGGCGGGAGCGCGCATGCGCGGGGGGGCGGGGCGCGGGGGCGGGGCGGGGCTCGGCGCGCTCCAGGTGGCCGCGCCCCCCGGGGGGCAAATAGTCGACGCCTCGGAAAACGCAGTGAACCTGGAATTTCTGGAAGCCTTTGGAAAGGCAAAACGAGTCCATTTGCATTTAAAACCGCGCTCCGGATTGTTTGGCAGTGACCACAGATACCTCGACCGGCAGCCCCTCACCCCACAATGAAGGCAGCGGTGTCGGGGTTCCCTCCTCCCCGGTGCTCTGCGCACCTGCCCCCCACACCCACCTCCCGGGATCCCCGCTTTCCCAGCCTCGCCTCCGGGGCCGGCGCTGCCCTTCTCTCCAGGTGTCCTCCAGGGCCCTTCCCGCCCCCCTTCCACCCCGGGGCACCCCGCCCGGCTCTGCGGGTGCTTCTTGCCACAAACTTGCTCTTCGCAGAGGAGCCTCGGCAGCTCTTTCCAGCTGCTGCTGTCTGTGCCGGAGTCGTCTCGCCTTCCCTTTTCCTGACCAACCCATCCCTTGAAAATGCGCCCTTAGGGACTCCCTGGTAGCCCAGAGGCTATTTCAGGCGCTGTAACTGCTACGCCCTGAGTTCGATCCCGGCCAGGGAGCTACCCCCACGACAGGGCAGACCTCTCCTGTCTCCCCGCTGCTCCCCTCAGCAGTGTGTTCCAGTCAATCTGCCTGTTCTGCTCCCCACTCTGTCTCTGGTGAATCCTCTTGAGGTTGTTACAGGGCAGGGAGAGGGGCAGCCCAGACCCCGCAAACCTGCCTATTCTAAACGGGTTCTGCCATCCGCCACATCAACACAAAACATGAGACTTTAATGGGAAGGAACTTTAATACAACTAGGAAACAATACAGGTTTCTAAATCAAGCACCCAATGTTACCCGTCCCCTCATGGGTAAAGTCCACCTGAGCAGGATTGGCCCAGAGCAAGGCCCCAAAACCTATCACAAGTCTAAAGCATCTTCCAGTGGGGACCCACAGAAAAGCATCAGAAATAACCAAACAAGTCTGGAGGAAAAAGAGCAAAATCAACATCAAGACAAAAACCGCCAATGTCACCTCCCCACGGGTCTCACCCACATCTGTGTCACCCAGTCCATGACCAAAGGGCAAGCGCAGTTTCTTCACGTGTCTCTCAGCTCCATGTGCCTCCTCCAGGGCTCCTTCTGGCTCCATCCTGCTTCCTTCTCTTCCTCAGTCTCCTCTGCAGCTTCTTCTCTCCCTGCTCAGCTCCACCCTCCATTTGGGTGGGGCAGGGAACCTGGAACCTCCCCCTTTCCTGGGGACCCCCTGTTACACCCCCATTAACCCTCCTGAATTTCACTGCCCTTATCTCAGAAGCCTCTTTTAACTCCCAAGAAGTCCCTGCCTGTTGTTGTCCCTGAAGCTGCCTAATTAACCCAAACTTGCCTTGGGACTCACTGGCACTATGAAAACACCCCGTGTTCTACTGCAAGAGGGTGGTCCCCAGGAAAAGGGGAGTTTCTACTTTCCCTGCCTCACCCAAGGGAGGGTGGAGCTGAGCTGGGAGCAGAAGCTGCAGAGGAGACTGAGGAAGGAAGGAAGCAGGATGGAGCCAGAAGGAGCCCTGGAGGAGGCACACAGTGCAGAAACATGTGAAGAAACTGTGCTTGCTTCTTGGTCCTGGGCTGGTTGAATCAGACGTGGGTGAGAACCCCTGCGGAGGTTAACAATGGCAGCTTTTATCTTGGTTTTTGTCCCAGAAGTGCTGGCCCCTTCTGCCCCTTTCCTATGGATCCCCTTGTGGCAGGCTTTTGGGCCTCAGTGGCCCTGTTTGGGGACAACCCTGTTTGGCCAGACATTTCCCCACGAAGGGATGGGTAACTTTGGGTGATTGATTTGAAAATTATATTGTCTTTTCTGTATTGCACAGTAATTGTATTAAAGTTGTTGGGGACCCCTAAGGCGTGGAGTGCTGGTGATACAGAACGCCAGCCTCAGTTTCCCTCAGCCAATAAAAGGAGAGTTTGAGGAAAAGGAAAGTGGTTTAATTTGTCGACAAATGAGGAGGCAGCAGGCTCACGGGTGAAAGACACCGTCCTGCCCTTTGGCAGAGTGCAGGGTGTTTACACAAAGGGAAAACAGGGGAAGGTGGGCCAGGGTCTGCAAAGGGGGGGGCAGGGGTCAGCATGGAGACAGGTGGGCGCCAACTTGCTTTTCTTCAATAGCTGACGTTTAACTCCCTCTTCCTTGAAATGCAGGAGGACTTGTTGCTGCTCATCCGAGAAGCTGGCCATAAAGGCAAGCCTGTCAAACAAAGGGGTAATTGCAAGAAAGACAGGAAAGAAAAACTTGTTCATGCTTATCTGGGAGGCCGGACATAAAGAAGGCACGCTTGTCAAATAAGGGGGAAATTGCAAGAGATGGGGAAAGACAAACTTGTTAATTCTTAGAGACCAGTCATTTGTAACTGCATCATTGGGACAAAGAAAACATCAAGGTCATGGCGGGAAGACTGGTCATGGTTAAGAGACAGATCAGCACAGGTGGAATGACTGGCCCTTGTACAGACCAGGATGTTCTTTCTTGAGTCAGCAAAACTATGCCTAGGAAGCCAACTAAATTAGGAAAGAAACAATGTAGAACCTTGGCGATGAACATGTGTCAGAAGAAGGGCCTCCCAGGTGGCACCAAGGGTTGAGCACAGTGCTGTGAAGCTGTCCCCAGTCTCTGCAGTGCGGGTTCGATTCCCGGCCAGCCAGGGAGCTACCCACATGGCACAGCAGACCTCTCCTGTCTCACCCGCTGCTCCCCTCAGCAGTGGATTTCAGTGGCTCTGCCTGTTCTGCTCCCCACTCTGTCTCTGGTGAGTCCTCTCACCCCCCGGACCTCTGGCTTGCACCCCAGTTCTTGGATGCATAAATAAATAAATCTTCAAAAAAAAAAAAAGAACAAGTGCTGAATACTCAGAAATAAGAAAATGAATCATCATTCTGTAGTTCTGCCTATCCTGTATCTTGCTTTGTAGCTTTGTTGTTTTGTTCCAGGGCAGGGAGAGGGGAAGCCCAGACCCCGCAAACCTGCCTGCTCTAAATGGGTTCTGCCATCCGCCACATCAACACAAAACATAGGAGACTTTAATGGGAAGGAACTTTAATACAATTAGGAAACAATACAGGAAAGGTAAAAAATATAGTTTCTAAATCAAGCACCCAAAGTTACCCATCCCCTCGTGGGTAAAAGTCACCCAAGCAGGATTGGCCCAGAGCAAGGCCCCAAATCCTGTCACAAGTCTAAAGCAGCTTCCAGTGGGGACCCACAGAAAAGGGTCAGAAACAACCAGACAAGTCTGGAAGGAAAAGAGCAAAATCAAAATCAAGACAAAACCCGCCATTGTCACCTCCCCACGGGTCTCACCCACATCTGTGTCACCCCGTCCACAACCAAAAGACAAGCGCAGTTTCCTCACTTACCTCTCGGCTCCATGCGCCTCCTCCAGGGCTCCTGCTGGCTCCATCCTGCTTCCTTCCTTCCTCAGTCTCCTCTGCAGCTTCGTCTCTCCCTGCTCAGCTCTACCCTCCCTTGGGTGGGGCAGGAAACCTGGAACCTCCCCCTTTCTTGGGGACCCCCCTGTTAGAGTTTCTGCTAATAAAAGCTGTGGTGTGCTGAGGAGAGCAGAGCAAACCTAAGAAACTCTCTCCCCAGCATCCCTTTCTTTTTTTTTTTTTTTAAAGATTTATTTATTTATGCATACAAGAGCTGGGGTACAGGCCAGAGGTGTGGGGGGTGAGAGGATTCACCAGAGACAGAGTGGGGAGCAGAACAGGCAGACTGACTAAAATACACTGCTTCATAGGTAGCGTCTTAACCCTTGCGCCCCAGGGAGGGCCCCCCAGCCTCCCTTCCCAAAGACAAGACACAATGTCCACGTCCTTTTGACTCAGCTGTCCACAACAAAAGTGTGTTTCCACTGAAGGCCTTACATGTTTTGTCTTGATGTGGAGGATGACAAGGACCGATTTAGAGCAGGCCAGTTTGGGGCTTCTGGGGTGCCCCTCGCCCTGTCCTGTAACACTACCAGCTGGGCTGTGTCAGCCTGTGTGGTTGGGGACCAGGAAGTGGCTAAGAGGGCAGGTAGAAGTCTTGTGCTCAGCCGGACTCCCCAAGTACTAGTTATTCAGTCTCTATGTCTCTGGTTCCCCCTCTTGGAAATCAGAGGTAAGGCTACATCAGGGGCCGACAAGGAGGACTGGATGAATTGAAATGTGTCAACTCCCGTGGGGAATTCTACATTTTTTAAAAAAGATTTATTTATTGGGCCTCCCTGGTGGTGCAGGGATTAAAGACAGGGTCAGGGCTATCAAGCTATCGCCAGCCACTGCAGCTCGAGTTCGATCCCTGGCTGGCCAGGAAGCAGGGAGCTGCCCCACATGGCGCAGCAGGCCTCTCCTGCCTGGCCTGCCCTCTGCTCCCCTCAGCAGTGTATTTCAGTAGATCCACCTGTTCTGCTCCCCACTCTCTCTGGTGAATCCTCTCACTGCCTGCACCTCTGGCTTATACCCCAGTTCTTGCATGCATAAATAAGTGAATAAAAGATTTATTTATTTATAAATCAAAGATTTATTTATAAGTCTTTTATTTCATTATTTATCAAGGGGGTCACACCACGCCGAGATTCCCAGGCGAGTTTCTCCACAGCAGGGAGGGGCTCATCTTTGTGGGTAGATGGTTTGTTCCTTAATCTCCGTATCTTCACCTGCAGGTCTGTGGTCCTGACACTCCCTGTAGCTGTCTGATGGTTTCTGGGTGTTGCGCCTCCTGATCTGGGCGTTGATGCCTGAGGGTCTTGGTTTTTATGACTGTGGTTAATGGC